TTTGGAAAGTTTACTCATCTACCTTTTACAGTGATTGCAATTCAAGCTGCAGGATGTGCATATTGTGCTTTCTCTTTGACACTGTCAGTCTGCTTCATCCTGTAAGAGCATAGAGTTAAGATCAGAATTTGTCAGGATTTCTTCCCCTGATGAAATTCTGATCAAAGGCCTTACACAAAAAACATAATATTTAGATAAAAAATACATAATATATCACAGAATAAGTATAGCATACACTTAAATGTCAGGAAATGCAGGCATTTTCATCAAATGAGTATTTCACTTTTTTCAGTGAGATATTTACAAATGTATTGATGTTTTTAGGTCAACTTTTTTTCATACAAAATAAAAGATCAAAAGTCGAGTTCAATATTTTCTATACACACAATTTTTCAAGCTATTCAAATTTCAACTAAATAGTATGATTTACCAGTACAACCATAAATAAATAGCCACTGCATATTTGAGGAGAAAATACCAATTAAAAACAGTACCAATTTATCTAAACAGTAAATATATATATATTACATATATTACATATATATATACAGTGGAAACCTGATATAACAGGGATGGTGGGAGTAGAGAAAATGTCCTGTTATATCCGATCCCTGTTAAATCAGAAATGCAAGGAAATTAAGCATTTGAGGACTAATCCAGCTGTACTTATTCATGGGTAGTAGTTTCCTTTGCCACAAGTACCCACGAACAGGGGTTTTGGTACCAACTTTCTCCATTGCCTCACATCAGAAGAGCTTGGTCCACAGCATCTGCATTGGGTAGTCTCAGTCTCAACTTCTTTCGATACAGAGCAAACTTTCCATTGGAGTATGCTGCCACTATCTTCTCTCTATCCTTGATAATGGTATGAACCGACCCTTGTGGAATGTTGAACTGACGACAAATCTCTGCCAGTGGAGCTTGCTTTTTGTCAATAGCCTGGATTATTTCGTATTTTTTTGTCAATTGAAAGACATTTTCTCTTGCGCTTGACATGGTTGGTGACAGTAGACGCATTACGCGTGCGTGTTGCTGGGTTTCGGGCTAGATTGAGGTCTGCAGCACACCGCAGCCCTCTCTCGCTTCACACACTGCGTGTGCTTGCAGTGGCATGGCTTGCATGGGCTTGCTCCATCACTGCATTACTCTCTCTCTCTCTCTCTCTCTCTCACTTTTTACACATCGTTAACGAGCCTTTGTCCCTGCTATAGCCAGTTGGGCTCCGATAGGGCCCTGTTATTGCCGATAACTTTTAATAGAGACAAAGAGTAGGAAAAATCGGGGATTTAAAAAATCCCTGTTATTACCGGATCCCTGTTATTACCGGGCCTGTTATATATGGTTTCCACTGTAGCCTATATGCCTTACATTTTAAAAATTACATCCCCACATGATAAATAGATATTTGATAGGAGCCACGTCCTGTGTCACTGAAACCATGGATACGAATGATATAATGCCAATATAAAGTTTTGGACATTTGGCAAAGGTGTGGCGGTAGTTGGAGAAACTTAATAATTAATTTTTCACAACAGAAAATGATTTTTTCACATTACTACACGTCATCGATTTCAGTGCCGTAGTGTGTGGCTCTAAGCACATATATAGGAAAAACTGCCTGATGCAGAGTGCGGCTCTGAACATATTAAAAAGTTAATCCACCGAACAGTCACGCAGAATAGCTGCAAGAGTAGATCAGCACGTTGAACTAAACTGTAAAGCGTTTTGCCCGCTAAAGAAGTGATATTGATAAGACCTGATGTTAGTAACACGTTCACATGAAAAACGGGCAATATCACCAAATAGAAATTGAGGGGGACATCAATTTTTTTTAAACTTCTCGACTTCATTTCTATTCGACAGTCAATCGATTATTTTTCTTTGATTTCCTATTCAATTAATAATAATAATAACAACGATAATGATAATAATAATAAAAAGTCGAAAAGAAATGCAGTTTAGAGTCTATAAAATCTTAAAATTGATATCCTCTCATTTTCCAGAATTGTGACTGTCTGTTTTTTTAATAGACTCCTCATATGGGAACTAGCTTCGCAGAGACAATAGGTCATGACCCACCAAAAAGTCAAGTGACAGACATACATTCATAATTCTAGTTTCAATAGCCTATACACAGTGCGTAGGTCAATCAATGTGAGTCATAAAAGTAGGTTAACAGTACACCGGCGATGTTTCTCTCTGACCCAAAATCGACTCGCATGCATCTTTGTAACTCTTTTGTTTCCTCATTTGAAACATGTTACATTATATGATTTACACTACTTGAATTTCTAGTGAAAAATGAGAAGACATAATCCTCAAAATTCTTTTCATTTTAGAAAAAGGAGCATTTTCGCCAATCAGTAGTTTTTTTTACACAGCGGAGATTCTGTATTCTTTCGGATTACCACTATTTTCAGATTAATCATTCTCGGTTTAAGTGATCTACACTGAACATCATGATATAACACATTAAACGTCAATATCTCTTCTTTCATAATAAGTACGGCTCAAAGTCATGAAGTGAAAAAAAAAGATGTGATTCATAAAAATAAGCTATTCTTCACACATTTTTAAAGCCCAAATTTCCCAATCTTGACTAGACGGGGACTGACATGATGAGGGTCGCATTGATAATGTCAAAGATAAAAAATTCTCGTCAAGACTATCAAAGGAGGAACATAACTAAATGACAGAACAGTTGTTGAATGTAGATCATGGGAGTATTTTTCCCTCAACACGGAATATCAATATGGGTCTTGTTCATCGCATCATATGATGCAACACATATGGAATGAGATAATTACAGTAAAATCTGTTAAGACGGCCACCTGTACAAACAGCTACTTTCCATTCCCCCCTCAAGTTTTATCTACATAACGGAACTATTTTAGTTTTAGTAAGAGTTTTACGGCATTTGCAACACAATAAGGTCATATAAGTGCCAAACATTAGAGGTGTTACAAGAGAGTAACAAACATAAAAAAGAAGGAGGAAAGATCAGGATGATAGATGTTCAATCGGAAAGAAGAAGCAAACCACACCAGAGCACCCGCCAACCACCCATAGTGGTACAGGGTAAAACGATCACCGGTCCAACATGGTCATGGCCACTATATTTTATCAACCAACAGCTCAAACAAAATCTGTCTAAGGTGGCCACGCAAATCTCTCAAAACCCATTAATTACCACGAACTATACATCAGCCCCTGATGCTGAGGAAGAACCATCATAATCCATTCACCTGGGGAGCAGTCACTCTGTTTACCCAGTGGGTAACAATGGACGTCAACATGTACTTGCGACAGAATGCCGCTCATCCGCGGAGTGGCGGAGACCACAGTCTGTTTTACCATGGCACCCGATCTTCCTCAACTAACACATTTTGTTTAGATTTACACTTGCACTGCTCACCGTCTTCTTTGTCTGATACTACTGATACACTTCAAAAGAATTTCACTCACAAAACCTAGCTTTCCACCCTCCTTCTATAAGAAAAAACCCCCACATTCTAATGGGCCTTATAGCAGTCGTAAACATATGACCACTTCTGACTGGGATCTTACAAAGAAATGGTTTGTCGTTTTTCTTCCATTCTGATCCGTCCTGCCCCAGACAACTACTTTTCTCCCCCAAAATGGGTGGCCGTCTCAGACAATCATGACATTTATCTTTTTTTGGGATCAGAAGTTTTTAACAGTCGAAAATTATCTACATAGCCTACTAATCTAGGATGTGAAAGGATAAAACATGAATCAGGGACTACAGTAGGCTACATTGTCCAGCTCAAACACATCACAAAACTGAGTTGGGAAATTGTGGAATAAGAGTGATGTCTTGATAATATCAAGGTATACATATTTTGGCAGTCTTAAAACAGACCTAAGCCACCACACACGCTTGTTCTTCTTTCACCTCTGACATTACACAGTTGACCAGACAAGCCCTTATGTTTCCAGTTCATTGCTGACTCGAGATTTTTTTAGCAGTTGCACGATGTTGTTACAATATTCTCCTATGCTTCTGCGGACACACAATGCGGAAAGAAGCATTGGAGAATAAGGTAACAACAGGCAAGTTTGACGGAAAGAGAGGCAGAGGCAGACAGAGGGAAAAGATACTGGGCAAGATGACAACATGGCTAGGAGCAGCAAAAACAACAGACACCATTGCTGCAACGCAAGACAGAGGGAAGTGGAGGTCCATGATCGCCCACGCTAGTCGGCAAGGCACCAGATGATGATGATGATGATGGCCTGAAACTGAGTAGATACCATCTTCCGGACCTTCAGATTCTTGTTCACTTAACAACACTGGCAACATCTGGGATACAAAGCAAGCAGTAGAAAGACGCCTTGTATATGGCCATGCTTTGAATGAATCAAAGAATTCAACAGCGCACTTTTTAAGTTCATTGCCATAGAAACAAATCATCAGCACCGAAAAGTCTGGCAAGCTTTGTGCCCCAGATGAAGTGGATACACAACGCTCCCTGCAACAAGAAAATGTTAAGACATATATAGGAACCCATTTATAGAATAGTACTGTGTAGACAAGTATATGTGTGTGTGCCTAAAGAAAAGTACCAAAAGTCGGATTTTAACCATTTTGAGTAAAGGGTTGTACCTTATAGGAAATTCAATTCTGAACACAGTGGTTTTTAATTTTTTGAGATATCTTAAGTAGTTTTTGAGATATTACACATTTTGTGAGGTAGGGTATAAAGATCTCATTTTGAGAAAATTTGCTTTTATGTTTAGAACACATACAAACTTGAAAAAAAAGGATGATTCAATATTTTTTCAAATCGCCATTCAGTTGATATCAATATCGTAATTAGAAATCAAAGGGAAAAACATAGGGGGAAGAGGAAACGCGCTTCAAGAATAGATTTCAACACCTTTTAAAAGCATTTTTCTTTATCTTATTCAAAATAATTCAAAATACATTATTTAGAAGTAAAATCAATTAAAACTCTTTTAACACATTGTTAAAAAATGGTGGAACTATCATTTTTTAAATGGAAATACATTTTGGTAAAAAAAAGTGATTTTTTTGTCTTTTTCAGCCTGTACCTCAAAATGGTCTCTGGCGACTTTTGGTACCTTTCTCTAGGCACACACACATATTTTCTCTGATTTACAATCAATGTCTTATCAATTTTAAGCACCTCCCCTCTCCATCAACGCAATTCAGATAACTTAGAAGGCAGGCTGCTGCAACCTCTCAGTCCGCATCAACCCGAGCTGAGTGGGATACAGCAAGATACTCGATAAAATAACTTCCCAAAAAGGAAATTTAATTCATGACTTGTGTGTACCTGTGAAGATCCTAACCGTTTCAACTCAGCAGTCACATTTTCCTTCAGAATGAAAACAAAGAGCACAAAACAGTAAGCCAAGTTTTTGCCTCCATTTACAAAGTACCCTCCACATATGGTTTCATTTGCTGTTGCCTCAGGGATCAAAAATTCTTCAAAATAAGCTTTATTCATATATTCTGCCCTTTTTTTTCTCTTACACTTCACACCTTAAGGAAGCACGGATTGAGAACTTAAGCCTTCTCGGTCTCAGACGAGGCTGGAAAGCTCAAGATGGAAAATCTGAGGTTTTGTGAGCAAACTTCATGAAAGACCCATTTTGGAAGATGAAAGGCGAAGAAGACGAGGTCCGCCAAGGCAGAATTAAAAAGTGTATGAAAAAAATCTGATCAGCATTACTTATAAAGACAAGCAGACTGAAAGGGGAAGGGGTAAGTTCCATTTAGAGTCGATCAACCAATAAATGGAGGGGAAATCCGAAGAAAAAGAAGATAAAGAAAAAAAGAAGAAAAAGTAAAGTGAGAAAAAAGAAGAAAAAGTAAAGGAAGAAAAAAAGAAAGAAAAAGAAGAAACAAGAGTAAGAAAGAAAAAAAAAAGGAGAAGTTTATTCTCTCACCTGGATCTGATCCATGCCATACATGAGGCTCCAATCTAGAAATTTTAGCCACCTCAGTCAAGTACTGTGAAATGAATAAGGGGTAATCCACTTAGGTTAGAGTTTGTTCCAGTCCAAGCGAGGCACATCAACAGTTTTAGTTTTAGTAGAGGTTTTATTGCGCTCGCAACTGCATAAGGTCATATGAGCGCCAGAAGATTAGAGCTGTTACGGTACAAGAGAGTAACAAACATAAAAAAGAAGAAGGGGAGATAAGGACGACAGATGCTTGATAGGAAAGAAGAAGCAAACCACACCAGAGCACCCGCTAACCACCCACACACATCAACAGAAAAACAGTCATTTAGTACAGGGAAAGAAGCAAGACAAACAGAGAGAAACTGCCACAAAGGGATGGCAAAAAAAGAAGGATCATATATCTACTGGTGGTGCCCTCTTATAAGAAACTATTAACTGCATGCAGGGCTAGAGCACATGAAAATGGTGAAAATGGTGAAAATGCTGTGATTGACCTTCAGCTTTGCACTTTGCAAACAATGTCCACATGAGGTCTGCATACAATTATGTATTGAGCAATAAAATAAAGAGCTGCAAGTTGAGTAGAGTCAGAGTAATAACAGCCATATTTTGCCCAAGAAAAAAAATTAAAAAAACAGTGACCCTGGAATAAAAAAGTAGGAGTAAACTTTCCAGAGTAGGCCCTACCCATCAACCATATATGTATAAGAGATAATCATCACAATCAAATTCATTGGAAATGGAGGGAATAGATGTACAGATGCAGTACAATGTCACATGAATAATTTTACTATAAATATAGTTAGTTACGATATTGGTTTTCAATGGTAAAGCTATCAAAGTCATACCATATACCCATGCCGAAAAAGGCACATCACTTTGGTTTGAACAGTACGTCTGGTATGATTTTTTAAATTTTATTTTATAGTAGAGGGTTTTACGGTGCTCGCAACTGCATAAGGTCATATGAGCATCAAGGGGTGGGTGTCAACAGAGAAGTCTTTACAGGGAATCAGACTTATTCTGCTCACCTCTCTAGCTTCAACAGCACAAGGTCTGCTTCAACTATCAAGGCACCCCGGAAATAGCAGGTCGCAAGAGAGTGACAAACATACAAAAGAAGTAGAGGAAAAATGACAATAGTAAGGATTAGGAAAGAAAAAGCAGCAGTTCCCTGTTGTAGATCTGGCACAGTTATGAGCGTGACAGGAATCAGCCCATTTACAATTCTACTGTGCTTGAACAAGAAATGTCCCCCCTTTGGGAATGGCCTAAAGACACTACAGTCAGTGGCACTACCCCGGGGGGCCTGGTATGATTTTAAAATTATTTGCAAGCATCTAAGCTACTTTACTCTTTATATACTTATAAATTTTAGGAAAAGTGCTGTGAATGTGACACAGTCAGTTATGAATTCAACATGAAGAAGAGTAAAGCTTAAATCTGAAAAGGGTCTGGATTAGTTCTTAACCGTCCTGACATATTTTATGTGTGTCACTGAGAAAAAATGTCACAACTTGAAGAAGTCCTTTTGAGGCATTTCATACACGGGACCTAGTTTTTCGACATCAAAATCTCCAATTCAATGTCATTTTCTAAAACCAAAATGTAGGTTTTCTTTATGCCCCTATAGATACAGTTTGGATCATTTACAAGGTGGGCTTCCGACCCTGCCTGTCAGGGCCAACCCGAACTGAGACGGATACATCTCGGAAGAAAGACAGAGATACTAAATGAAAATTTTCTCCCCTCTCAGGAATCAAACTTGTGGAACAGCAAAGCGCCTAACCGCTGTGGTGTAGCGGTTAGACGCTTAGGTAAATCTGTGTCTAGTTCATCAAAATGCAATAAAAAAGTATATGTTCACATACTCTCACTTTATCACTGCCACAAAACTGACCTCCACAATCTCACAGTCCGAGTCTTTGACCTCCAACCTGGTCATGATGCCACTGACAGTCTGGCCGTAGGCGTCACGCTGGTCTCTCGGGTTGTGGGAGCTGAGGCAGAGGAGAGGAGGTTAAAAACTGTGGTGACTGTACAATCAATGCTTTGAGAAAAATAAGAAACATGTTCCTGAAAAAAAAAAAACCAACACAATTTGCGCTTGAATAACAGTGCAAAAGAGGGACAGGCCATGACAAAAAAACCCAGAAAAGCATAAAAAGAATCACATCTTCTTAGGGTGGGAAAATTTTATTAATACAACTACAAAATTTATATAAGATACGAACAAAATGCATGTCTAAGAGGTAAGTTCTGAATACTGCAGGCTCTTTTTTTCATTAAGCATTAAAACCCTTTCTGACATGTGTTTTTCTTTACTTTATAAGGCTAATCTGAAAAGTCTCAAGAGAAAGATAGAGTTCAAATAAAATGAGTTCTAATAATAGTTATAACATTTTCTTTTTTAAAACATTTCTGCATGTATACAATTTAGAAAAGACGGGTCAAATAGATGGAAATTGCAAATACACAAGACTGAACTCAAAAGTATAAAGGTGGGGGGAAAAAGGTCACTTACTAAAGTATACTTCCTGCTGATCCAAGACAAAAGGAATGAAAGAATATGAACACTTTGGCAAATATGTCCATGAGCCACCTGAAAAGCAAAGAACAGATGACTTTTTTAAAAAAAATTAGTAGAGGGTTTTACGGCACTCGCAACTGCATAAGGTCATATGAGTGCCAAGGGGTGGGTGTCAACAGAGAAGTCCTTACAGTAAATCAGACTTACTCTGCTCACCTCTCTAGCTTCAACAGCACAAGGTCTGCTTCGACTATCAAGGCACCCCAGAAATAGCGGGTCAAAAGAGTGTGACAAACATACGAACGAAGTAGAGGAAAATGACAATAGTAAGGATTAGGAAAGAAAAAGCAGCAGTTCCCTGTTGCATATCGAGCCCAGTTATGAGCAGGACATGATGAATCAGCCCATTTACAATTCTACTGTGCTTGAACGAGAAATGTCCCCCTTTTGGGAATGGCTGAAAGACACTACAATCAGTGGCACCGCCCCGGGGGGGGGGGGGGGGGGGGGGGGTGAACAGATGACTGAGTGGAACTACAATTCTATCCCAATCTTAACACAAAGAAAGTTACAGGTACTACTTTGTGTATATTCATTTACAGCCATTATAAAGAGAGCATCATTACATTGAAATTTGAACAGGCAATAAGTTGAAACAAATGCATTCCCACCTAAATACACATTTACAAAGTTTTATTCCTAGTTAAGTACAATAAAAGATAATATAACTTCAACTAATCCATTCTCAGGTGTTAAGGGATGAAAAGAATTAATGTTAACAAAGAGCAGAAAAGATGACATTTTCTCAGTATATTTAAACCATTTCAACCACTTTAAGACCAAACAGATGCAGCTAATTGCGTATGTTTAAGATTCACATTATGATTTCCATTTAGGAGTATCAAAGTTTTTTTCATTTTTATTCAACAACAATGCTGTATGAATTGATCATTCCATGCTATAAGTCGTATAATAAAGTGAGGATAGGCATATGTGGTGACTTCTCTCATCATTTAAATATCAGTAAGTTCTTTCTTTTGCGAGTTGAAAATAAAAAAAAAATCAGTTACACAGAGCAGAACAACATGAGATACAAATTAAGGCAAAAGAACAATGCCCTCTTACTCCAACAAATAAAGGAACCCGGGTCTCAACCAGGACCCAGGACCTTATACGGATCTTTCCAGTAACGATAATGTACAATCATGATACTTACCACTCAAGATAAGCCAGAAACTGAACATCCGTTTTTAAAACCTTTCGTTTTGACATCAACTGCGTAATTAGATGACCCTGAAATCAAGTGAATCCAAAAAAAAAAAAAAAAGGACGTAATTAAGATTCAGATCCATCATAACTCTTATCCAGACAGACTTGTATTTAGACATTATGCTCTTACCAACAGAGTAAAATACTACTGAGACTCAACCATATACAGTGAGCTTGATATAGGCAAATTGGCAACCCCCCCCCCACACACACACACACACACACAAAATTTTACTTGATAATTCAAGATTTTCTCCAAAACAATTTGTTAATGTTGGACTTGAAATAAAGCATTACTTACTTTTTATTTCAGTTGAGTGAAGTGAATTTACCTGTACTTTTAATAATTCAAAGCCGCTTGGTCCTCAGCTCTGTTGGTAACTAACTGTCAATACCTTACTATACTGATAATGCAACAATGCTACTTTCCGTAAGCGAAGAGTCAAAATGGTTTTATGTGTGGATTTCTTTGGGAATCACTAAAAATCAAAAGAAAGAAAAAAACGAACTAACCTGGTATGGAGGTGCAATAATGACTTTCCTCTCCACATCGATGATGGTGCAAGCTCTCTATGTGGACAGAATAAGAAGAAACATTAAATTCAAACATATGCTGAAACACTTTATGATTAACATGTCTCCTGTGTACAACATCTGTATCCTTCCCTTTCTCGTAAAAACAAATGCATGTGGCTATACTGTCACCAGTGCTCACCCTCAAACAAATTTCGGCAAACTTGAGGCCTTCCAGCATTTTGCTTCAGAAAATAAAAGCTTGCCGCTCAAAGTCAGAGATGTATTCATATTTATCAATTGTGGGAGAGGCATCAGAAAAATAACTTAGGATACACCACACTGTTCCTTCACAGGAAGAAAATAACAGTGTGCTTTCATCAGCTTCTAGCATACAAAATGTACATGTACACAGCATAATATCAAAACACTACAACTTTTATCTATCTCTTTCGCCCATTTTTTTCTCTCAGTTCAGAATTGTCCTCTCTTAAAAAAAAAAAAGAAGCAACACACTGTCTCTAAAATGCACACCTACAACTATCTCCTCTATCCTATATGATCTAAACTTCAAGAAATCAACACATACTTCCATCCCCCTTCTCTTAAAAATGAACAAGCATTTACAACAAACACTCATCACTCACAGTCTTTAAGCAAAGATTTCCACCTAACAAAAAACCAGCTGCATTTGTAGAAATATAATTCTTAAAACTCCAGCAACTATCTTAACCTCTTGACTTCTAACCATATATTTGCACCCCACATGCAAAGGAAAACTCAATCGTGCACAAGATGCCGGTCACAATCTTTAATCGACTTTTGTTCTCTTAATTTAAGAGACAGGTGAATAAAACTATATATCAATAAAAAGATAAATAAATAGATGACCTCATCCATTGACAACACCTGGGAAGAACAAACTATTAGGATGTAAACCATATAAAGGTACTGAAACTGAACAATCGCACTGATTCAACGCACTGGCCCCATCTCTGTCTCGTGCAAGACAAACAACACATCTCGCTTGGTTTTAGCAGTCACAAAGCTCGTGCTTCCTGTTACTGACAGTCAAACTATATATATAATATATATATCAATAGAAATAAATGAATAGATAGCTTAGTACATTGACATGACCAGGTAGATCAAGCCATAGCGATGAAAGTAACTTCAAAATACCAAAACTGAATAAGCACTCCCATTAAACAAGTCCGCTCCAACTGTCTTGCACAATGTGCATTATAAAAATAACACACCCTTCTTTGTTTTATTGGTAATCACCTGCTGTTTCAGTCAAAAAGTCTATATACAGAGATGACTTCATAGCTAAAACCATAAGCTCTTAAGGGATGCCGCTCCCTTTATTCAAAACTTGGTTGTAGTTTAAATATCAAAGAAACACGAAACAAAACATTTAAGCTGCTGCACAAGATATGTTTACAGAACACTGGGGGGGGGGGGGACAGATTGTACAGACATATGATATAGGACGATAGCACAGTCAAGGGGTAACAATGATCTCATAATATACTTGTGACAATCCTTTCTTTCCTTGATATACTGACCTTGATGGCACTTGTGACAAAAGAATCTAAAGTTTTCCTCTCAGGCCTGCATATACCAACAAGCCGAAGTTTGGTCAAATCTCCAATTCTAAGGGGTTTGGAAGTCCATTCTAACACAGAATGTCGCCTCCTGAAAAAAAGAAAAAAGGGTTTCTGTAAGGTAGCTGAAAAAAATAGATAAGGCATGAGTCACATCCACTCCTCAGGTGTAGGCTTTCATTTTTCTTGTTTGCATTGAGGTCAATAGCTTGTAAATATTATAGTTGAGAAAACGGTAGTGAAAAAGCTTGAATTAAATCATATAAACATTTTAATAACTTTTTACTTTGCAATCTCGATACAGAAATCAAGGAAACAACCGACCTCCACACTGACTTATTTTTTTCAATAGGTCGGAATAAAAATGACTCAAGAGTAACAAACAAGAAAAGAAAGGTCATAAGTACCTATATATGCACCAATAATAAAAGATAAATCAGCAGAATTTGTTATCAGCTTATATGTACAAGTGACTAGACGAGTGCCTAGCTCACCAGCGCAATTCATACAATTATTCTACCTGCGTGCAACGGGCACAAATATGGCTAAGGCGTTGATCATCTTGACCACCTCTGCCTCAAAGCGGCCTGAGCCAGCCACTAGCACTGGTCTGCCGCTAAGAAGACTGAAGACAACGTGCTGAAGGTGACCGTACGAGGCTAGCACTTCCAGGATACAATGTCCTGTTGGGGGAAACACAAGAGGCAGGTCAAATGAGTAAATAAAACAAACAAACAAATTACCCTTTGAAAGATCATTTTAATTAGGACATTTGGTTTACAATGGCACACACACCAATTTATTTTGCTTTAGGGAGTGCTTTACAGCACCTACAACACAGTTAGGTCATACAAGTGCCGAAGACTGAAGGTATTAAAAGAGAGTAACAAACACAAAAAAGAAGGCAAGAAAAGGACGATAATGTTTGATAGGAAAGAAGGTCAAACTACACCAGAGCACCCCCCCCCCCCCCCAAACCACTTACAAACATACTTACAATAATTTCTTGCTATATAATACATACTGTATATCATTGCGTATAGGACTCATGCATGGATAATAAGCAGGTAGACTTGAGAGAAAAAACTTAGGTATAAATCATGTGTACATCGGATAAGACACACCAATATTTTCATGGCAAGCACCATCACCTTTGTTTGTTGACTTTTTATTAATAACTGTACTTCAAAGCAAAATAAAACACAGCTTTTGTCTACAAACATGCTTTTTGGCAAAAGCTTTACATATTTTACCCATTACCTGGCCCACAGACTTTGTTCCCTTGGTCTGCCCCCACTGGGTTTTTTGGGTCTGATTTCTTCTCTTATGGATAAGACACAGGGCGACCATGAAGCCCTAATTTCTTAATAAAGAGTGGCGACCTATACACGATGAGGTATTTTTTTTATTTAGTAGAGGTTTTACGGCACTCGCAACTGCATAAGGTCATATGAGCGCCAAGGGGTGGACGTCAACAGTGAAGTTTTTGCAGGGAATCAGGCTTACTCTACTCACCTCTCTAGCTTCAACAGCACAAAGTCTGTTTTGGCTTTCAAGGCACCCCGGAAATAGCGGGTCACAAGAGAGAGATAAACATACAAAAGAAGTAAAGGAAAAATTACCATAGTAAGGATTAGGAAAGAAAAAGCAGCAGTTCCCTGTTGAAGATCAGGCACAGTTATGAGACATTGATGAATCAGCCCATTTAAAATCCTACTGTGCATGAACGAGAAGTGTCCCCCCTATGGGAATGGCCTAAAGACACTAAAGTCAGTGGCACCGGTGCGATGATACATGGTAATATCCCACCAATACAAACTACAAACATGCCGTTGCTGGTCTTCATAGTGCAGCACACTGTTTTATAGGGACTGTTACTGTGTCATCCCAACTCTCACTTATCACTGCCAAACATGGACCACGAACAAGACATCAGAGCAAAGAATTACAACATGTGAAATGTGATGAGTTCAGAAGATTGTAAAACACATTTTTCTTAACTTATTTCAAAATTTGGATTGTGACTGGTACCCTCTTTACGACACGGAAACTTTTCAGTTAATTTTTTTCTATCCTACATTGGATAAAGTGACAATGAGCATGCATTAGCTTCTACGACACAAAATATGTATGATGCATTACATTCTCTCACTATATATACAGTGGAACTCGGATTCAACAAAGCCGTCGGGCCAGACCTTCAATTTCATTGAATCTGAGTGTACTTAATAGAAAACATGAGGTTTTCGTGTAATAATTACAGGCACAGAGCAAGTAATGCGTAATGTATTTGACTTTCTCAATCAAAAGCAGTTTGGTTTCAAATGAGAGGCATTTTCATTTCTTTGATGCCATACCAAAGAAACGCTGGAAAATTCCAGGAAAATACACTGAACTCTACCAAGCACACACTGTGCAAAAAGGCCGATTCGCTCAAATGCACGCTCATGTCATTTATCATCTACAATATATTGTTTGCCGAACATTTGGTTCCACAGTCCAGCGTGCAATTCATTAAGAAGATCTATGTCAATACTAGCTTGTCATTGTAATACTGATCAGTAGCCGGGGAAAACAAAAATACTGTGACGTGTTTGTATCTCTACTGATATTCCACGCCCGGACTGCTTGTGCCCCCTCCCCGAGACAAACACACACAGTCACACAAGAGCTAGCCGCCTGTCTGACCCTGACACACGTTTGGACATGTGCGCATGTTAACAATGCGAGTGTTGGTATGAAAGGTCACCCATTGGTCAAATAAGATACAAACAATAGGTTGAGCGGTTAAGCCAAGAGGCCCCTGATGGTTCACCATGCAGGTGTCATGGATGGTTTCCAGGAACAGATAAGTTCATCGCAAGAGAAAAATGAGCAAAGCCACATCAGCAGAGTTCACCCTGCAAACGGCTTAGTTGAATCCGAGCTAACTCATTTAAGTGTTCGTTGAATCAGAGTTATTTTTACTGATTTTCATTAATTAAAAAATGGGGAAACCAACTCCTTTTGTTGCATCCGAGGTCCACTATCTCTCTTTTTCTCCGTTTGTAAGTAACTCACTGCCTCCCTAACTTAACTACAAACATGGCAGGAAATAATGAGTGCCTTTACTAGACAAGAATTTGAGGATGGGTCTTCCTAACTTTCTCTTTTGACTACTACTGTGCATTAGACAAGATTACTATAAAAAATATTAGTTTGTTAAGTTTTTATTCCAACCGTCTCCACTTTATGAGAGACAAAAATGACAGGAGAATTAAACCTTTGTAAGGTCTAATATGCACAACTTACTTAACAGCTCTGGTTTCAACTCATAATACTTTTGCCAAGATTTTATGGCTATGAGAACTACCATTATGCTTCATTAGCCCTGACTTACACCGTGTATAACATTTAATTGCAGCTGAAACATTTCTTTGATATGACATGAAGAATGCTTCAAGAATGAAAGTGAAGTTGGAATCAATAAGACTTCTGTTTCAAACCTAACTTTTTTAGTTTTAGTGGAGGTTTTATGGCGCTCGCAACTGCATAAGGTCATATGAGCGCCAAAAGATTAGAGGTGTTGCAAGAGAGTAGCAAACAAAAAAGAAGAAGGGGAGATAAGGATGATGGATGTTCGACAGGAAAAAAGAAGCAAACCACGCCAGAGCACCCGCCAACCACCCACTCAAACCTAACTTTGTGACTGTATTCTTGAACTATTCAGTTAAAGTACCTTACTAGTTGTGAAACTGTATTTCAGTTGTGGTGCAAAATGAAAGAAGAAAAACTAAAGAGCAACCTCTATGTCATTTATTTCCCTTTCAGTAAACAACTGAAACAGGTGAAGGAGTTTAAATATCTTGGCAGCCCTTTTTCTGAAAATGGGCCCATAGACAGAGAAATAGAAAAACGAACTCAAAAAGCCAACATTGTCACCTACCAGCTCTCACACCTCCTATCTCATGTCATGGACACAAAGAGACAGTTTATCACTTCAATATTCATACCAACATTATGCTATCAGTGCCAGACCTGAACATTAAGTAAAACCCATGAAAGAAAAATCAATGCATGCGAGATGAAATGTCTCCGCAAAACTCTTAACATCACAATATGAGATAGGCAGAGAAATGAAGAAGTAAGAGCAGCTATTGGGGACTGAGTCCTGCCTGCATTTCATAGAAAGACAGAGAACAAAACGGTTTAGCCACCTGTTACGTACGTCACCTAGCTAGCCAGCCTCGAGAGCCCACAACACCAAGCACTCAGACTATAAAGGAAAAAGAAGGCCACGCAAAAGGTGGATTGAAGAGAAATCCTCATATAATAATAATAATAGATAGCATTTGTATAGCGCATATCCCCGCTCAACAGCAGGCTCTATGCGCTTTACACTATATTATTACCCCAGCAGACCATAGAACACTCCGAAACATTCTCAGCTTCCCGGGAAGCATACAGTGCAAGCAGCCGATTAAGCGCTCAAACACAAACAATCTGACAAGATCTTTCAATGTCTATAGCCGGGTACCCATTCCCACCTGGGTGGAGTGAGCAAAATTCGTGTCCCAAGGACACAACGTCAGGCCCTTGACGGGATTCGAACCCACGACCTTACGGTTGCGAGTCCGAGAGCCTAACCACTAGGCCACCGACGCCACATATTCCAATTAAAAGAGCTGTGGAGCTGGCCTACCATAGAAAACTGCATCTCCCCTCAACGCTTAAAGGCAACACAGGAAGAAAAAGTAAAAGTGAAGTATTCCCCTCCCAGTACCTGGTCGGCCAGGCCCCAAGTTATTCAGCCAGTCTCCTACACTGTACAGTCCATTCCTTGGCTTCCTGAAAGTACACCAAAATAAAAATTCTCATGAAAAAGAACTGAAAATACCATGACAACAAAATCTTTCAAAGCATATTAAGCAACCAGCTCAAAGGGAAAAAAAAAAGTATGCGAGTACAGAAAATCAGTACAGACATCCGGCTTTAATAAAAGTACAATTTCGGCATAATTGGCTTTTCAAAACCTTGTTTGGGAACATGGACTTCATGTCATAACTATAAACAAAAAAATTAAATAGAATTGCTTATCTGGGCTACATTTTATAGTCTAAATAATTAACCAAACCCCACCTTCCCACCTTTTTTTTTGTCTCTCTGCTCGACAGTGGTACACCGATGTACAAATTAAAAACTCTAACAGATACAGTAGAACATGGCTATAGCGCGACTTTTGGTTCGAGAAGAAAAATCTCGCTGTAGGCGAGTTCCCACTATAGGAATATAAAGGGGAAATTACCTAAAAAAATGTTTTAATCCACATGACAACCCCCTTTCCATATCAATGTTGTTGTTGTTGTTATCGATCCAGCAACAGCTGGGCTCTCACCCTTCTGTCCAATGCCATGTAGTGATAAGTGCAGGTTTGCTGCAGTTGCTGTATTGTTCTGTAGAGTATGTTGTCAACGTTAGGTCTCGAAGGGGAAAGTGTAGCTCTGATGTCATTTAGGGCTGTACAGTGGAAAAGGTGATGATCCAGTTTCATATGCATAGTCACACAAAGGACACATTGGGGGAAGTTCTGGTTTTATTCTGTTCAAGTGAAAGTTGAACTATGTTCTGTTTGTAGGCTGATGATCGCGGTCTGTTTCTTTCTCTATAGGAGGTTGATATTGCCATTCCTTTTTGTAGTGGTCATATGTTTGAAAACTGATCTGCTGTCTTTCCCAAGGCCCATCTGTTCATCCAATCTTGTTTGCTGTTGCTTTTAATGATTTGTTTCGCAGTGTTGTATGAAGTTGGAATGTTGGGTTGTTCTGTCTAGATCCCCATTTGACGAGTGTGTCTGCTCTGTCATTTCCAGGTATGTTTGAGTGTCCGGGAATCCACTGTATCACCAGGTTGACGCCACAGGATGTCATGAGGTGATGGGAGCCAAACAGTATATGTGTCAAGTCTTGGGTTAGATGATGGTCATTTTCTATCTCTTGCAAGACTGATCAGTGAAAATCACAATACTCTGCATTTTGTTTGAATGAATGACAAAAACTGTGCGGAGATGGTATAGTGCTGTTTCAACTGCCATCATTTCTGCATCGTAGTTGTTGCATTTTTCTCTACAGGCTGCTCATTGGAACTTCCATCTGGGTACTGTATTAGTATTCCATATCTGGCTTTGGTTGTCAGTTTGAATGCTGAGCCGTCAGTATAGACGTGTATCCAGTCATCTGAATAGCTGTCGATTGTTTGATGTGATGCAAGCATCAACGTTACTGGGTCTGAAGATTTTGTGCTATTGTCTCTGAGAGATGTTACGATTGGTTTTTTCAAAGAAATGTGGGAAGGGATGTTTTGGTTGACTCTTTTGGTTTCTCTTCAGTTTTGTGGCAGATGGGGACTATCCATTAGTTCTGTAATGTGATGCATGATTGATTTTTGTTGAAGTCGTTTCTTTCGTTTCCATGTTTCTACTAATTTCCTGTTTGTGTGGTTGGGGCACATTCTTTTGGTTCTTTCCTGGAGCTCCAAAAGTGCTTTATCTCTGCGGATTCCCAAGGGTTTAACATTTGAAAGAATTTACATGCTGTAGTAGGTGTAGATCTCATGCCACCATTTACGAAATGAAGGGCTTTATTTTGGACCTTGTCAAGGGTATTGCAAGTAGTTGTACTGCACATAGTGAGTAGGCTATTGCCCAAGGTATAGAGCTCTCAGAGTTTGCTTGTCTGATCTCCATGAACTGCTTGCAAGTTTCTTTAAAAGTTGGAGTCTTCTTTTTGCCTTGTTCTTTATGCTTTCCATTTGGCTATTCATGGTCAGACTTTGGTCAAATTTGACTCTTAGGTATGTTGGTAGTTTTTCTTGGGTGAGATTTTCATTTCCTATCTTCAGTTGAAGTATTTCTTTGGCTGTTTTATGGCTCCTTGTAAAGATGGTGTATACTGTTTCCATGTAGTTTATTTTGAGCTTCCACTTCTGACAGTAATTGTAGAGCCTCTTGAGGTCTTCATTTAATTTCCCTGCTCCTACTACTGTGCTGTGATGTGTCTGCCAGAGAGCAAGACCATCAGCTTTGACAGTCTTTTCAGATTTTAGCACCTTCATTATATCACTGAAGAATATCAGGAACAAAGTGCAACTCGGATAGGAACCTTGAGGTAGGCCTTCCTCAAGTACTACCCTTGATAAGTGGGCATTGTTCACTTTGGTTTCGATGTTTCAATCCGCTAGGAAAAACTTGATCCATTTATAAAGTTTTCCCTGTGTCCCGAGATCCATAATTTTCATGAGTAGGACTTTTCTCCACACTCTGTTGTACGCCTGTTGGAGGTCTACAAAAACGGCGACAGTGTGTTTTGACTCCTGAAAACCATCCTGGATGTCCTGACTTAGTTTGAAAAGTTGGTCTTTTGTGTTGCTGCTTTTTCTGAAGCCTGTTTGGTGTGGGCTCAAGCTGTTGGTGTTCTACAGGTACCAGTAAAGGCAGTTGTTAACCATTCTTTCGGCAAGCTTACCTATACATGATGTTAATGATATAGGTTGGTAGCTCTTCGCTCCTCCAGGTGGTTTCCCATTCTTCAGGAGCCGTATGATCTGAGCGATCCTCCATGCCTTAGGTATTCCACTCGTTCTCCATGTGGTATTTACTAGGCAGCATATAACGTCTTTTCCTTTAGCGTCAAGGTTGCATAGCATTTTGTTGCGTATTTTGTCTGGTCCTGGGGCTTCCATCAATAAAATTTGCGCTTTAGATTAGTCTTCCTTTTCTTGTCAACTTTGTTTATTATCTCTGCCTTTAAATTCAAGTGAGAAGCATTTCCTTTTGTCTTTGTTGGAAGCCATCTTTTCCTTGGTCTTATTGCTTGTGCTGTCTATCATACCGTTAGGCCTACTGTAGAACTCTCTGCCACCTGCCCCACTTCACTCATCACTGGATTGGCCAAACACAACATCGCACTGCTTACTGCCTGTTTGGACCCACCTACAGCCCCCCAACCCCCTTCCCCCCAGCTAGAGCTCGCTTGATCTCTCCCGCTGTGTCCGAGTTCGGGCCTTTCCTTGCCCCGCTAAACCCGAGCACAGGTAATTGAGTTTACATTAAAAAAAGGGGGGATCCTGGTAAGGTCCCCCTGTAGCGTGTGCTACCATAGTCAAGTTCTACTGTACTCTGAAAAAAAAAAGACTACATTAAAGAATGCCAGTGAATTCCTGTTAAATATATATACATTTATTTGGACAAGATTCTACTCAGTCATTAAAAGTGATACAAAGAGGTAAAGACAATGCACACTTGATCTAGACCTAGTTCACAGACATAGAGATGTAAACCATGAGCCTTCCCGGCTCAGAAGGGAAAGAAGTTTGTTTGTTTGGACTAGGGTAGCCTAAATATCAGCTTTAGGGGGTTCGGGGGAAGGGGGGGGGGGGTGATTATTAAGGCTACCGTACAGCCAAAAAGAGTGAAGCTGGGGGGTGGGGGTTGGACTGATTGGCTTATTGAAGCCACATATAGCCTGTTTAAAGGAAATGCTTATTTGGCCTACAAATAGTCTAGACGGTCACCTTGAATTGATAAGTTTGTCAAAGCTTTGCAAATAATCATGGTCTTTAAAAGCAAACAACTACTAAAAATATTCATAATTTCATTAAGAAAAATTCTATGAACTGTTATCAAGTTCTTTTTTAATACAGACATCTCATATCACAGAGTGAACAAAACCATATTTGCAAACAAAGCAAGAATTGTGTCAAAGGACAAAAGAGACAAAAAACATTACCAGGTTCCTGTAGTTGCGGCTGTAGTAAGATCAACAAAATCTGAGGGAAAGAAATGTATGAATGACATAATTATACGTGGTGTCCCACACCAAAATACAGTAGTTTCCATCTAAGATCCAATAGCTTAGGATCCCAGTTTGTTTAAGATTCCATTGCTTTAAGAAAACAGAATTTCCTCAATACAAAAGTCACCCCTAAGGCCCCACTCTGAAGGACTATATTGGCCTAAGATCCTGCATTTCAGAACATAATTTACAAAACACTAACCCAGGTGGGCACTGCTGATCAGCCTTGAAGTGAAAAATTTGCGACTATTTTACTGGCAGTTGTGTCACAGATCATCCACTCTCGTGAATGGAATGTGATCCCAACTCTGTTGTAAGTCTCGATGAAGGGGTACAATGTTTGCCCCAGACGGGATCACACCAAGGTGTGAACTCGTCCACAAGTTTGTATTCCCCAAACATGGCACTCGCATCTGAGCTCTCCACCTGAACTTAACTCATAAGCTTGGTGGGCACGGCTCACAAGTCCGCATCAAACGGGGTCACACTGAAGTGTGACCTCTTCGGCGCATTTGTTTTCCTGACCATTGCAGCAGACAGACTGAAACACAACGGTATGTTACCACCCAGGTAGGGGAACTTGGTCAGAGATGGAAAACAGTAAATTTTGAAAGGTAAAGTTTGGGGAGGTTAAGAAGAGGAGCTACGGGATAGGCATAGATTTTGAGAATCACAATAGGACACATGAAAATTGCATGCCTTTCGCATTATGATTGGCTATCAAGATTGACCACTCCATGCTAGTCATATTACTCATAAGCCATAAACCCACCAAGGAGTCATGTTAGTACATTTCAGAGTAAGGGTAGACCATTTCATTGATTGTAGGCAAGAACATGAGTCATCGTTGAGTCTCCCTTTGGTGCATCAGATAAAATCCCGTTCCCCTAAGATCCTGCATTTTCCTTATTCCCAAGCACCGGGATCTTAGGTGAAGACTAGTGTATTGTAAAACCCCACAATCATAGGAACATGTGCACCTACATACTCTACAACCATATTGAAAAATAATTTATGAGAGAATATCTATTGGCAGATAATATAAGAGGCATCATGGTGAAATCAGGCACTAGTCAAAATAATAAAATCGAAGAAACTGACATTTTTCTGCCCGTTGGGAAATTTCTCGTTTAAAGCTCAACACCTTTTATTTCCATTTAACAATACATTCTTATTTGAATTTTACTGATACAAGTTGGTCAAAGGCATTGAAAATGTAAATTTACAGTTTCCAAGGGCACTTCAGCTTGGGAAGTCACCAAACTTTGACGACCATTTTCTCACTAATTTCACCTCTGACACCAGGCGACCCTCACCTCCTTCAATCCCAAATATCTCAACTTCTACAAGATATAAGTGTATTGCAAGGCAAATAATGTGGAAGAATCACAGAAATTGAAGTACAAAAAAGTGGGAAGACATGGAATAACCTCAAGACGCTAGCCTAGGATGAGAAAGGTGGAAAGTGTTTGTTCGAGGCCAATACCCTGGTGCAGGGTGAGAAAGGTAATGATGAAGGCAAATTAACTGGCTTTAAGATAATACCAATGACTCTAAAAGCCTAAAAATTGATGAGCACCTGATCCTACGGAGTACACACATGCACGCACGGACACACGCAGACAGACAGACAGACAAAGCAAAGCGTTTGTACCATAATTTATTTTGAAGGTGTAATACTTGAAATTGTACCAACACTAGCATTCAGCACTCACCATCATTAAAATCCTGTGGTTCGCAAGCATCACACGAACCAGAACCCAGTAAATCCTTTGAGCTGTTTGCCGAGCCGACAAGATGTGGAAATAAATCCCGCACAGAAAGTTCGGTGAAAGCAGAGGAGGCGTCTGATTCAGACCTCACCCTACGTGATCCGTCTTCGTCCCCAATGCTAGATGAAGGAGGGTAATTTGAATCTCTCAGCCTCAGACGTCCACTAGACCCAGACTGAGTCATCTGAAGTTTGTATGGAGGCAGAGAGTTGGAAGAGGACTTTGGCGACAGTGTCATTGGTGAAGATTGTACATTACTGTTACCGACATTTGGTTCCTGCTGAGGAACCTCCCCAGTGACATCCGATGAAGGCTCTTTGCCATCTCTAGGGTCAACATCCGTTTCTGATTGGGAATGAGCAACGCCAAAGGACTCCCTCAACTCATCTATACTGGACAATAGTTCTGATAATTTGCTCCCAACCCTTTTTTGGTGATGCTCAGGCTCAGATCCGGATGGTGTGCCAGAGTGGGTGTCAGTGTCACTGCCCTGAATCTTGGAATGTACAACATTCGACAAAGGAGCAGAGTTTTCTGAAAGACTTTTGGTTCCGTCTTCCACCATGCTTGACTTGCAAGAATCTAAATGATTTACACATGCTTCGCTGTTAATTCTTTTCTCAGATTCAAGCTTGCCGTCAAGATTCCGCTGAGTTGTTCTGTCGACAACATTATTTACCCTGTCAGCATTCGATGATGAAAACTCAGACACATCTGCAACATTTCCTTGCATATTTTCACGAATCCTGAGAGTATCCTCCTCAACAGAGGCACTTTTAAACTCTTCACCACTGCATGCATTACATTTCTCAGAGGACAGTTTTTCGGCTGGAGATGTTAGACTGCTGAAAGAAAGATTTGACGATGAGACAGATTGTCCCTGCATTTCCGACTGTTCTCCAACTGCTTTTGGCACATTGTAGCCTGTCCCCTTTTTTTCGGGAGACTGACTGACATAAGCACTTCTCTTTGGACATCCTATATTTTCAATGCACTGACTGACCGGCCTGGAATTCTCCAGGTATAAACTGACAGGTGAGTCACCCATCTTTTCTGTTCCTTTTAGATTCTGAACAGTATCATAGGGAATATCCATGCCCGGGTAATACTCTTGGTCATTAAGTAAGTAAATTCCCCCTCTGTCTGGGGATGAGGGTGCCGACTCAAACACATTCACACTGCAAAAGAAAACATATTGAACATTTCATTAATTACTTTTTTAAGCCGTCAAACAGAAAGGAAAAATTCTGGCACCTGTTCTATTTAAACAAGATCAACAACAATCTTACATTATCATATCGCATACATAATTCCTCAAGTTTTTCTAATTAAACTTTAGCCATATTCACCTCAAAAAGGGAATACAAAATGTTATTTCTATCCTGTGACCTAAAAGCTAAAACACAAAGCATCATAGTCAAGCAAAAATTAATTAATTATCTCTTAAGGAAAATATCTGTCGGTAAACTTTATATTTTTTGACAACATCAACAACATAATTATATTATACCTTTGACTATCATAAGTTTGGTAGGATGAGGGAGAAATATTCCTGGACCCCACATAAGATGAGAAAGAGTCTGCAGACTTGAAACTTTCCAGGGAGTCCAACTGGAGAGAAGAGAGAGAAAAAGTCAACATGAGAATGAATACTTACTCTTCGCTGCCGCCAGTAGAATTTCCGGGTCAGAAATGTGTAGCGCTGTGCCTATGGCCTGTAAAATTTACAGGACTGTGACAGTGGTTGTTTTGATACTAATTATAAGGGAAGTTACTGCTAAAATCTTGTAATTCTTATTGGGGTAAAAGTAAAGTTGTTCCTGCATCCGATCCAGACATTGGGGATTGCCTTGCTAGTGAGACAACTTCCTGGGCCATCGGCATATTGTGGTAGGGTGGCCAGTTCCTTTCCACATCGTCTTTACTTCCCCAGCTTGAAGTCAGGTAACCATTACTGCTGGGTGGACAGGAAGGGGTGAAAAAAATCCGTGTCCGAACTGAAACTCGAACCCAAACTTTCCGCTTCGGAGATGAGTGCACTTATTGGGGTACCTTCCATTTATGCTTACCTACATTTTCCACCCATTTGAAAGTGTCAGATTCAGATTTTAGCTGGAAGAGAAGATTAGATCTAGATGTAACACATCGACCACACAAAAATGATGGGCTTACATGCATATATTGTGGACTGTACGAGCGTTGTATAAGGGAGGAAAAGCCTCTTGTCTAAAGCCTATCAGTCTTAATAAAAGATATTTTCAAAGAAATAGCAATCTCAAGAATCTTATTAGAAAACCAAACTTTATTCTGAGTCTGAGCACATCAAAGCACGTGGAGATAATAGCAGCCTTCGGGTGCAGGGAAAAAGCAAGACAGAAAGACAGAAACAATTTATAAGCGGAAAGGACAGAAGTAAGATCTACCAGTCTTATCAACACTCTTCAATCAAGCGCAGATAGTAACACCCAAGGACTTTCCCAGACTGATCCTTTAATATCAAAAGAGAACACCATCCATACTACAAGGCAATCATGAATAAACTATTTTTAAAAGACATATTTTTAAAAATGAGAACTCTGTTTTACCAAACTTTCTTTCTTTGATAGGTCGCTCACTGTCAAGGAAGTTTCGTTAATTCTAACAAAAAAGCCCTACCGGAGAAGGATATTAGATGGCAGTTCCCCCTTCCCAAATAATGGTGAATTAGTTATAGAAGTTTTGAACATCCCCATTTATACCATTCAGATTATTTATGAGGCAAGCTGCTTCAATCCTGCCTGTCAGGCCAAACCCAAGCTGGGGAGGATACAGAGTCATAGGAAGAAGATGAAGATATGCAGTAAAGCAGATTTCCCTATATGGGACTCTAATTCATGTTTCTGAGCAAAATCAAAGTATTTAACTATTACTCCACAAAAGCTGGTCGCCTCTTTAAAAAAAAACCCATTTTATTGCTTTATTGTGTTGAAAAAGACATACAAACCGATACCAAGCTCACAGGTAGGGACTTAACCATACAGAAGCTTCAACAAAAGTGGCTTAAACCGAGAAGCAAAACTCTCAAAACCTTTATGGTAATAAAAAGGTTCCCATACTCACCGAACCCTGCGAACCCCAGTGATGAGAGTTGAACATGGCCCACCACTCTTGCTCTGGACCATCCATATTTCCCTGGAAACGTTTCCTAGAAATAAGAAAAGGCAAAACAGAACTCATGACCCACAAGGCTCCAAAAGACTTCCACTTTTTAGACAAAAATAATAATAATTTTAAAAAGATTTAGAAACAATAAGACAGACTTTAAATATCTGTTATCATTAGTGTCACTAAGAGTCCCTATACCAATAAAATCCTGACAATACAGGAGCAGGAGTTACAAAAATTATATTTTTCTGACATTTTGTGCATATTCTCCCACTTGCACAGCAGTCAGCTAGAAAGTTCTGTTTTCATTTTAAGGCACTTGCAACACAATAATTAAGTCATATAAGTGCCAAAGGGGAGAGGTGTAATCAGAGAGTAACAAAAATAAAAAATAGGTGGAGAGATAAAGATGATGAATGTTTGATAGGAAAGAAGGAGCAAACCACACCAGAGAACCCGCCAACCACCCGCTCAACTTGAAAGAAAGCTGCCTTGACTTCACATTTGAAGTAGTTAAATATTGAAGATATTTGTTATCTACATCAGTTCAAACATCATCAATGCCTTTCTCACCCTGCATCAGGGTATACGCCATGAACAAACACTTTCCACCTTTCTCTATCCTGGGCTAGCATCTTGATGTTATGCCATGTCTTCCCACTTTTCTGTACATCAATAGTTCAAAAATAGCTTATCATAAATCAGAATCTTACTTTCTAGTATCTTGTACAGATAAGTTAGGTTTTACTTTGAGAAAAGAGAAGCAAATCGACACAACAGCGCTCATGTAGTTCTAGGAAAAAGTGAAAAAGAAACAACAAAAAGAGGTTAACTAAAGTAGGACCAACCAGCAACACCCTCCAGCCACTTGCAGGTACAGACAGGGAGATCAATGTTATGCCCCAATTTTTATATCAACCAAAATTTTTTAAAAAGCTTCGTTATTACAGTCGAACAAGTCCAAGATGACCACCCACTGTCGAGGAAAAAAGCGATTATCTTAGACAGGTGTTCCTCTTGAACAGTGTCATTATGATATATATATATATATATATATATATATATATATATATATATATATATATATATACACATTTTTTTTTTTTTACAGTAGGGGAAGTAGGAAGCGGTCATATGTACAAGTGATATTTTTGAGAGAGCGATTGTTAGAGCATGTTCCACTGTATTTTTAAGTCACAAAGAAAGAGGAGATAGAAAATGAGTCACACTATAAACATGATTTGAAAAATTTACCAAAGGTGCACAAATAAGCAAAGAGGCTGGTTGCGTTCTGTCAGCATTTAAGCAGAGATGTTTTTACTGTTTTTAGTTTCAGTAAAAGTTTTACGGCACTTGCAACACAATAAGGTCATATAAGTGCTAAAGATGAGAAGTGTTACAAGAGAGTAACAAACACAAAAAAGAAGGAGGGGAGACAGAGAAGATAGATTTTTTATAGGAAAAAAGGAGCAAACCACACCAGAGCACTCGCCAACTACCTACTTTTACTGTCAATGATACGTCATGAAGTACGTCGTTCCTCAGAATCAAAACACTTTTCCACACTTCACATTGAGACAAAACTACTTTCACGAAAACAAACGGAGGAAACCTGGACAGGGACAACATAAAACATAGAGTATAAAATCACTCCTCGTTTTCTATTTTAACTTCTGAAGGAGCGAAAACGCACATGTGAACTCCAGCGAGGAAATTCCCTGTGATGCACTGGCCATGGGAGATGCTGCAATATCCTGGCCCTGGGGGGGTGAAATGTTAAGTCAAGGTGAGATGAACTAAGTGAAGGTTAGAAAATGAGATAATCATACAGATTCACAAATATTTTGAGTTCAGATTTACATCCCTGTCAAAAAAATTAAAGAAATCTAAAAAGGCACCTCTTATAAATTTTGAGCTCTCATCATATGGGAAGGCTCTGAGGGAATCTTTAAGCAAATAGGTTCAGAAACATCTTTCTGAGGACCCAATTCTATGTCAGCCCCTAGCACTGTCAATAAACTAACCAGTACAAATAAAACATAGTAAAATAAAGGTAAATGTGGAAAGAACCAAAACAAAACATGTACAGGTTAAACAAGAGCATAAGGGATCATGTTCAAGACTCACAATTCAATATTTAATAATGAGTATGATAATAATAATAATGATGATAATAATAATAATAATAATAATCATTTGTATAAATCGTATCCCTACTCTACAGCATGCTCTATGTGCTTTACAATTAGTATTACCCCAGCAGACCCTTGAACACTCGGCTCAAAAACATTCTTCGCTTTCCATGAAGCAAGCAGTGTCAGAGGCAAATTGCAAATGCAAAAACAGTAACAAACTAACAAGATCTTTTGCTGACTATAGCTATAAGGAAAAGTGAGCATTCCTAAAGAGATAAATAAATAGTACTTGCAATGCTGTGATTATAGCCTCAAAGTTCTCTGCTTTAAACTGAACTGAGAATGCTCAAGCTTAATTTTTTTGGGAAAGGGGGGCTCTCATGGCCTAGAGGTCAAGGTATAGGCCTCTCATTCAAAGGTCGTTCGAGGGTAGCGACGTAAAAAAAAATTTTTCTCTTAAATTGTCTCCTTTCACCTCCTTTCTCTCTCACTAACAATGTTCTGTCGTCTGCTTTCGTCTCTTCTTTCTGTCTCCCATCCCCTCACCTTCTTTGCCCCCTCTTCTGGGCTCCTGACTCTTTCTGAATCCTTTCTACTGCTACTCAATGGCTTCTTCTTACTGTCGTCTTTCAGCCACACCCCTGATCTTCTGGTAGGAAAGATCTGCACCTAGCCTTCTCGGAAAAGGGCAAAAATCTCAGAGGGCTCGTGGGAAAATTGCGCACGTTAAAGATCCCTTGGTGGTCTAAAATCGATAAGAGTAGGCTTCAGCCGCCACCCGAGCAAAATTCAAAATTTAAAATTTCCTACAAACTGAAAATGTGTTTTTTTGTAGATGTGTCCCGCGAACTCATATGTCCTTATGCAGTTGCGAGCGCCGTAAAACATTCATCAAAAAAAATAAAATAAAAGATGGAAAATGAAAAAAAACCCACCTGAATACTAAGATAAGTTTCCATGCACCAGGATTACATTATCCTCACATGCCCCTCATCAATGAAATAAGAGTTTAACCCTATCCGTACGCCCAGGGGTCATTTTGTACCCCCGGGGTTGTATTCTTCACATTTTAGAATACTTCTTGTACGAAGATCTCTTTGAAATTTTCAGTATTTCTCAAAAAATCATTTTGATAGACTGTTATGCAAAGCGTACGGATCGGATTAATGAGTAAATTTCCTCTTTGGAAAGTGGTGGCACAGAGTTCCCCACGTCATATGAATAAGACAGTAAAACACGACGTACGGATAGGGCTAAAATGTTCTGATATACCACTATATTAGATTAACAAATTGTACAGGCCTTGTGTAGACTGTTGACCAGCACAAAACCAAAAGACCTAAACACAAGGGATAAAAGAAAATGGCAATTCTCAGATTTAAGAAGAGAAATTGGTGTGTTTCATGCTCGACAAAAATAAAAACAACTCTAATATTTGGAAAAATGACTCATCCATGTCTGCAGTGAAAGCAACAATTTTTTTTGTAAATGTCACCTCAACACTTTGACAGACATTTTAAATCACTTTTAAGGTCAGTCTGGGTCAGGGCAGAAAGTACAATTCATCAGCAACTGTGCAGCTTCTTCAAAAGTTTAAGGGAAAAAAGGGCAAAGTTCAAACTTACGGAAGAGTTTTGACTCATTTTTCTCAAGTTCAAGGACGAGGTAGCTTCTTTTGAAATACTGAAAAAAATACAGATATTGTAGATAATGTTTTGACAGCATTATGAGACAAATGCTCAAGGAAATAAGGTTAAATGAAATAGAAGGCCATGTTTTAGATTCATCAAATTGCTTTATAAGCGTAATGGACACAAAGTGCAGACAAACAAAATGCTCATCCTAGTTCATGTACTTCTAAATGTTTGCAATCTTGGGGACTGATTGTTATTCTATAGGAGGTCTTCATATAATATTTGGTATGAAATATGTGTTTTAAGTCATAAAAAGAAATTTTGAATTACGACATTTTACAAAAAGTCATAAAAAGTACTTTTGTGTTATAACATTATTACCTCTCCAAAAAATATATAGTTGGCCAGCTATTAAAATTAATTAAGCCCAAAATTTTTAATTATTTTTTTAAATCTGTGGTATAGGTTGTATATGCCCAGGAAATATTTTGTCAAAATTTGAATTCGAATTCTAATTGTTGAAAAAAGCAAGAAAAAAAACATAATGTAGGCGGTACAACTTGTTAAAGAATGAAACAGTTTTTTCTCACTCCTAAACAAATTGTGTTGTATGGGCTTAGTACAACTTAACAATCTGCAGAAGTTACAAAGCAGAGGCATAAAACTTTTCCTTAAATTCCTAGTTCAAATCTAAAGCCAGACCTGAACCTATTATTTCCAGGTACTGAAGCCAGAACATTACCATGTAACTACAGGTGCCCCAAAGCCAGTGCTTGAACTAAACATTAACAAAAAGTACATTCATATATATACATTTGACGCAACCTAAAGCTCAAACACACCTCATGTATATGCCGCAGTCTTCTCAGGCCTTCTTTTGCTCCCCAAGAACAAAGTTCGTGTATTCCCCTGAGTGGAGCATTAAACCTTTTCGCCTTCTTCGTTTCTACAAGCAAAGGCTGTGGACAGAATGAAAACGCACAGGACTTTAAATCTAAATAAAATATTCTGCATACTCAGTAACAGATCTAAATCAAAACAGAGAAGTTAGAAATTTAAAATGAAAATTTCAATTTGTTTGCCTTCGAGAGAGTAAAAGAAGACAAATACATGTAGAAACAACTGGAAAAACTTTCACTGACATACACATATTAACGAAACATTAAAAGGAAAAGAATTATATGCATACATTTTTTCCCATCTTTTCTTTTTAGAGTTGCAAAAAAAATCTAAAAAACAAACCCATCACAGCACTGATCATATGAACCTGGGAGAAATTTAAACATGTGAGCTATGATGAGTTGGCTATATAATCAGGCTACAATGTAGGAGAAATAACAGAAATATTTCTAATACTAAAAAGGAGCAAAATATCCTCTCCTCCTCCCCCCCCCCCAAAAAAAAAATACACTGAAAAGAAATATAAGAAACAGATCATATTATTATAACAACACCAAACCACGCCCCCCCCCCCCCCCCCCCCCCCTGAGGTGGCAGACTGTGATTCCACCAGACAATACAGAAGTAAAACCTCTGACTGCCCCCACCTGTTGGGACCGTACACTGCAGAAGCCTTTGACAAAACCTTTGAAAGAAAAGTAATAACTTTTAACTTTTAAAAAAGGCAGATTTAGAGTATACGCAAAGTCTGTTGAAAAGGATACAGAGGGTCATCACTGAATTGGACACAACAAAGAGTTTCTACAGTTGCAGCCCCATTTCACCAAGAACTATTAGTGTAATATCAATAACAAGTTGTAACAGAAAAAGCTTCGTTCTATAAATCCCAGCACTGACCCACCTTGTACTCTCGTGGCTTGAACAGGGACAGAGGGGATAGTCTAGGCTCATTGAGGGAACCACCTGCAGGAAGGAAAACAACAAATGTTCAAATAAAATATATGATCACTTTTACTGGTCCTCAATGTAAAATTTAGATTTCAATGGTATCCATCCCATTTTGTTTTGAAAAAGAGTTGTACGGCACTTGCAACACAATAAGGTCAAATAAGTACAGAAGATTAGAGGTGTTACAAGAGAGTAACAAACACAAAAAAGGAGGGGAGATAAGGACGATAGATGTTTGATAGGAAAGAAAGAGCAAACCACACCAAAGCAATAATAATAATAAATAGCATATGTATAGCGCATAACCCCGCTCTACAGCAAGCTCTATGCGTTTTACACTATATTATTACCCCAACAGACAACAGAACACTCAGAAACATTCTCAGCTTCCTGGGAGCACCCGCCAACCACCCATTCATCCACCCCATTTAGATTATTAAGAAGGCCAATTGCTTAAGTCCTGTTCTGCAGGTCAACCTAGCGGAAAGACATAGATACTCAACAGACTATTTATTGTCTTCCCCTCTGACCAAATTTCCGTCAGTTGTATGTAAGGCGGAAAACCTAAAAATTATAACCACGGATGGTGGTTCCCAGGTCCGACAAAACAATTCGTTTCAAGAGACATAAATCCGTGACTGTAGAGCACATAAGTATTTGTTTCTCGAAAAATCAAGAGTGCTACAACACATTTCAGATGAAGAAAATGATATCTGATCTCTCCATCCTCCCCTCTCCAAATCTTAAGATATTAAACATTGGGTCCCCCATAGAAAAACAAAAGTATGACATTTCTAGTGTAAAGCACAATGCTTTCTATACCAGCAGTTTGCCTTAACTGGAATCAAGTTGTATCAGAGTCAAAACTCCTTAATTAAAGACAGACTCTACTGCACTTTGACAGACCTCAGCATTTGTGAAGATCTCTAGTGTTGCAACACGAAGGAGGAGGAGAAGGAGCAGAAAAAGCACAAGGAAAAACTGTACGTAAAAGATGCTACAGCAAATTTTGAAACTTTTTTTTTTCAACTTATGTAAATAGCTCATAACACTTTTGGACATAAAAAACAAAAGAAAAAAAAACCCACTGGCAAAGGTCACTACTGAGACGGCGTACTCCAATCTTAAACAACAAGCAAATGACTTTGTTATCAGCATTGCACATGACCTGGTTTCTTTTATCAACCTTTTATCAAGATAAACTGTCTAGGAGACAACTATTGACCTAAAAGAATACAATACTCATAGAACATACTGACATAAGATATCAGTTTAAAAGCTCGAGCTAATCACAAAGCTTCTAAGAGCTCTTCCTTTTGTTCCAAGTCTAATTGATTGCATTTATTCAAACTGGAGTAGTCCTTGATTTAATAGGCTTTTCACTTTTATATAAAGAAGAAGTTGAGTTTGACACCAGTATAGAAAAGTTACTTCATTGAGTATCTCCATCTGCCCACTCTGGCGTTGTAACACACTCAGCCCATGTTGGTCCTGATAGACAATACTGCAAGCTACTTAAATAATCTAAATTGCATCTACAGGGGTATAAATTATAAAACAATGGCAAACAGCCAGATGCCAGTCAAAACAATCAGTATGGTCAAGGCGGCTTAATATCATGGCACTGTCATTGCATGTCGCCATATTTAGATTAGGCAAAGGCTGTACAGAAAAAGAAATAGTTCCAGTTAAATGAACCAAAAACGTCAGCTCTCTGTTTGTCAAGAGATCAAGAGAGATATTTTTTGTATATCTTGCACACACCTTCAACGCGCTGCATTCATAGATGAAAATGTAATCTCCTGTACCATTGCCTTGTACGACTCAGTTCAGCTAAGCTTCTTCAGACCAGAAAAACTGCTACATACAGGGCTTGTATATACAGCACCCAAGGAGTGCACAACTCTTTATGTTTTACAGCACATTTACTTTTGACTGGTGTACACTGCACAGCTGACAATAGGAGCATGGTGTACTTACATCTGACGTCCAAGCCATCCAGAGAAGAAAGATCATTAAACCAGTTTTCCTGCAGGCTCAATTTGTCCTGTCCAGACTGACTGGACGACTGAAACGCCCGATCCTCCAACAAACGAAAACGAGCTTCAAGTTTCTTATCAGACTGAAATAGATAGATGATGAGTTAAAACTTCATTTATTTAAGTATCTCGTAGATTACAAGCTTCAAGTTTATCATATATCAGACAAAAGTAAATATGTTATGGGATAAATGTTAAATTCCTTAATCATCTTATGAAATTAAAATATCATGTCCACACCAGCATGACATTGTACTCCACTCTTACAATAAGCAGTTCATATTAAAGGCTCATAAACGCAATCTTTTTTAAAACATCACATTCACAGAAAAACACTGCCTGAAAAATAAATAAACAGCACTATTTTCATCATTACCACAAGCACCATCATTGCAACCATCTCCGTCACCTACAGACCATAACTATAAACATTACTTTGTCCCAACATGACCCTGCAGACCCATAGAAAAATTGCCTCAGTAACATTTCAGTACTACCATTATTGAACACATTTCTGATTTAATATCCCTTCACCTGTAACTGATATCCAAAAGGTAAAAAATTTGGATCCCAAGACCACAACTTCCAAACAAATTATAGTTTGAGTTTGAATAAAGAGAAGCACATCCATACAAAAATAGTCATTTTTTGCTGGAAAGAAGCAAAACAGTTAAACAGAAACAATAGAGAGAAAGAAAAGAAGTAGGACCAACCAGTGGCATCCTCCAACAAACTAATCAAAATAATGAGTAGACAATTTTTTTTTAAAGCAGTAAGGGAGCCCGGCACTTCAGTTCATTGTAAGTTTTATCAAATTGTGGTACACTGAAGGCCTTGAAAGAACACAAAACAAAAATGATCCACACAAATATAGCACACTGTCAAGTCATTCACTTCCACAGAAGGATAAGGAAAATCGTACAATGTATACAGATAGGGCACTTTTTTTGTCAGGTCAACAAAAATAAATCATAAATGAGACACAACATTGTTTGCACCATCAGATTTATAGTCTGTCATGGAGAACACAGAAAAAGAAAAAGTAGACATTGACTTACTGCAGTAGCTAAAAAGTGTACACAACTTTTTTATTTGAATGAATGTTTCATCGGTTACACACTCATTGCTTCCAAACAGTTTCTATAACACTCACCAACAGAGGTTTGAGAATGGAGAGAATTTCCCGTATTTCTATACTGGATTGTCTTATAGTTTGCAAGCCCTTGTACAGCTCATTTTCCGCATTCTTGCGGACATCCTGACCATTCCCAGGAGCTTCGGAGTCACGAAGCCTCATTTTAGAAACTTGATTTAGAAGGAAGCCTGAGGACAAAACGAATGTACTGTATATTACAGAATATGCAAAAGTTGGCAACAATACATATTATGCATCTCTTTTCTTTCCAGATTAAAACTCTGAAGAACTTACCTACCAACTTAATATAACCCGGAGAGTGCATTGATAGTCAAGTAACTGCCTTTTTCAGTAATGCCATAGCATTGATCATTTGTAAAAGCTATTCTTGAACAATCCATTTATGGTCAAACAATAACATAGCACTCTCAAAGGAAAAATATTTATAGCTTTTAAAATGACCCACATTGCTTTGTCTATCCTAGTCCACTGAGAACTACCACTATTTTACACTACATTAGCACAAATCATAGCAAAAAGTCACTCTTTGCTGACATGGCTTGAAACATAACAACAAAAAGGGTTTTTCGTTTTATGGAGCTCGCAACTGCATAAGGTCATATGAGTGCCAGAAGATTAGAGGTGTTACAAGAGAGTAACAAACATAAAAAAGAAGGAGGGGAGATAAGGACGATAGATGTTTGATAGGAAAGAAGCAGCATTGGTATCAACAGAGCACCCACCAACCACCCATCAAAAAGGGTTGTTTTAGTTCAGTTTTTAATAAGAGTTTTACTGTCAACTGCAACCCAAACGGCTCATTAAAGTGTCAAAGATTACAGGAGTTACGAGGGAGTAACAAACAAAGAAAATAGTAAGCAGAGGATAAGATAATAAATGTTTGATAGGAGAGAAAGAGCAAACCACACCAGAGCACCTGCCAACCACCCCCTCTCAGGAGCCGACAACAGCGGGTAAACATAAGTCAAGCTGGAGGAGAGAAGGAGAAACTCTCATTTCACATTAATAAAGCTGAAAAGCTCCCTCATAAACGCAGAACAAAGGATAATTGGCCTGATCACTTAAAAATGGGTAGCTTGTCATTAATGCTTTAGCACCAGATCTGATTTCAAGTTCAAGCAAACACTTGTGAAGTTATCATCAGGTTTTCCATTAACTTCATAGGCTTTTAACATTATTTTTTTTATTACAGTTGTTCTGTGCCTATGTCTGAATGAAAATAGTCTCTGTGTGTGTGTGTGTGTGTGTGTGTGTGTGTGTGTGTGTGTGTGTGTGTGTGTGTGTGTGTGTGTGTGTGTGTGTGTGTGTGTGTGTGTGTGTGTGTGTGTGTGTGTGTGTGTGTGTGTGTGTGTGTGTGTGTGTGTGTGTGTGTGTGTGTGTGTGTGTGTGTGTGTGTGTGTGTGTGTGTGTGTGCGTGAATAAATATATATTGCATGAGAAGAAAGGAAGTAGTAAGAAAGGTTTTGAAAATTGGTATTCCAATGTAAAGCCCATTGAGCTACTTTTTTGGAAAAGCGCTATATAAATGTTATATATTATTATTATTATTATTATTAAATTGATCCTCGGGTGTTGGCGTCAAGTATCCTGTTTTGTCTGACACGGTCAGCAAACTTAAGACATCTTGTTTGTACATTGCTTATTTCTTTAAAAAAACGTAAGAGGTTGAAAGTACAAACTAGCCAAAGGTGGCTGCATTTATAAGTTACAAAAATGTTCAATTCAATGTCTCCCAAAAACTGACAAAATGTAATATAATCAAGGGCACCTTTGAAAATAGTATACGACTGTCTAAAAGGAAAGGCAAACACAGTCTAGAAGGGGAAACACGCAGCAAACATTAAATAGTTGAGTCTTAGAAAAAGTAAACACCCACAAAAAGTTAGGTAAGTGCTACTACAGTCTAATGAAGTTCCAGACACTAAAAAAAAAGGGAGTTTGGTTACCCCCCTCCCCCCACAAAATAGTATTTACAGCTTGCCTTCAGCGCTTGAATACATAGCAAATCCTTTGTAGACCCAAAATCAAAAATAGCTTTAAACACCATGAACCAGCTATCACAAATGACAAAAATAACAATAGCCAAGCAGAAGATAAATTGTTAAAGCATCAAAGACTGCCAGCAGATCAACAGCCACAAACCTTTAGTGTGATCCAGATCTTTCAAGTGTCTTTCCAGGTCTCCAACAAAGAGCATTTTATTTCCGTACTTCATATACCTTGCGACCTGTTATGAAACAAAAACAGAGACGAAATAAAATTTTGAATCTTACAAATACAAATGGAGCTTGTCTTTCTCAAAGTTTGGATAAATTATTCTTGAAGCTCTTGAGTGTTCTTGAAAACTTCAATACCAAAGCCCAATTTACGTTTTAACACTATTTGGCCTTTAAAAAAAGTCAGCTGCTGATATTTCTAAATACTGCAGTTACTGAAACATATACTGGAATACTTATCTGGTTTATCTCAGTATTTTATATGGTGTGAATCACTGCTGAAATTGACAAATTTCAAAACAAACATTCTTTGCCTCAAGTAAACTGAAATTTAGAGAAAGCATAAAGATAAAAGAACTGAAGAAGGAATGTTAAGAACAAACAAAAAATGGATGCAAAAGTTTTCCGAGAAAAGTAAATATGCTGAAATGTATTGAATGAAATTCACACCTTAAAATAAAACTAACCTGATTGAATTTCCTGTAAAAAAAAGACAAATACTACATTTTGGTACTTTAAGAGGTTCTTGTTGAATGTAAAGAAAACAGATTGCATGGTAATATCCAAAAAAGCAACAAATCCTAGTTGTAATCTCATTAGCAAACGTGAAAAGATCAAACAAGTCCAACAGTTTAAATATCTAGGATATATGATAACATCTGATGCCAAATGCTCCACACAAATAAAAAGGAGAACTGCAATAGCTAAGGCTAGTTTGAATAAAATGAGCCCAATCCTGAAAAATAGAAACATCTCAATGAACACCAAATGAAAGTCCTGAAAGGCTATCTTTGGGCAACCCTTCTATAGGGCTGTGAATGCTGGACAATCACTAAAGACAGTGAATATAAAATAGAAGCAACACAAATGTGGTTTCTTAGGAGAGTGCTAAGAGTATCGTGGAAGGAAAAGAAATCAAATGAGGAAGTGCTTGATGAAGCCCACGTGGGACGCTCAATGTTAAAAACAATCAGGAAACGACAAATGCAGTTTTTGGGACACCTGAATAGACATAAGGGTCTTGAACATCTAGCTCTCACAGGCAAAATTGAGGGCAAGCGAGGCAGGGGTAGGCCCAGAACAACATACTTAGGGAACCTAAACAAACGGGTACAGTAGTCTCCGCCTAAACGCACGCCATACAAAAACACGCTCCGCTCAAACACACACTTTCGTCATCTGACGGGTTTTTTACTATATAATTTAGACGTACAAACGCACGTTCACTCCCTCTAAACACACGCTCCGATCCACGAAACACGCCGACAGGTAAAGCTTGACAAGGGGAAATTTCCACGACAACCTGCACTGCTTGCATAAGACAAGCCTAGAAAACCGGATATTTGGTGCGAATGCCCCTCACGGCAAACAAAGTGAATGATGGACAGCGTTTTCACACCCAACTTTCCACAGACACATAGCCCAGGTCGAGGACTGGTCGGTGAAATGTTGGGGGGGTTAGGGGACTGAAATGTTTTTTGATTGGTCATTGGAAATGCATCTTTGAGAGAAGGTTTCTGACTTGTGTTTGGGTGACTGCATGTAATGTTTAGTATTGTTTAGTTAGACTTAGACCTACGATGCGCAACACGTTTGAATGCTGTAAAACATTAGATAGGCAGGCCTCTATAGGATTAAAGATTAGTCAAGTAAGCCTAATCAGCAGCACTCGAAGAACTTTTAACGTACTTGTTCAACGAATCACAAGAGAAATGTTTCTCTGAATATAATATAGAGATCTATGATTCTGATGTCATTCATGAATTTACGGTCGGGGGTGGTCGCTTGGAAAGCCACGTGGCTGGGCCATCCAACAATTTCCTCTTAGGCTGTCTGTTTCCGACATTTTATGGTGCATATATCATTACACATTGAGTCTGTCTTTCTTGCCCCCACCCATTAAACGCCTTTGTATTCTTTACTGTAGTCGGGGAATCCTTCACAAAACAGTCACATTATCGGCCGAAGTGACCCCCATCCCAAAGGGAGGTCACTAGAATATAAAGGCCATGAGATGACTGCGTCCCTTCCTCCCTTTGCACGGGTTCATGTAAATGCACGCTCTGTATAAACACACGCTAAGGAGCCCTCCCGAGCACCGTGCGTTTAGGCGGAGACTACTGTAAAAGGGAAAGTTCAGGGAAACGTAGCTTTTTTGAGAGCATCCGAACGAAGGAATGAATGGAAAACCATGATCGCCGATGTCTGTCGCAGATCTGCCACTGGATGATGATGACGAGGTTCTTGTTGGAAAATTTGCATGCACAATACATAACTTAGACAGAAGGTTAAATTAGCAGCACTTAGTATTAAACGTCATGATACAGACCATAAAAACACCCCATTACTAGTTGCCACAACTCAGCACCCTGGGTTTCTTTTTAAGGTTTTCTTTTAGGGTGAACTGGTCTTGCTCAAAGAAAAATCCCAGTGATCATTCACAAAAATGTTGAATCACTGACATTACACCAACTTTACGCCGGGGGGGGGGGGGGGGGGGGGGGGGTTGGGTCCGAGCTCACAAACAACACAACCATTGAAGCTCTCTTGTGTTGTCAAATCCAGACAAGGACATCATAGCAGTACCATTTCTCACCAGTTTAAACATGTCTTCAGACCCCTCAAACTGCACAATTTCATGAGTTGGGGGGTTTTTTGGGTTTGTTTTGTTTTATTGTTGTTCTTGTTTTAGTTGTTTTATTGTGCTTATTTTTAAAATTTATTTATTTATTTATTTATTTTTAAATTCTTTTTTCTTTTTTTTGTTTTGTTTGGGGGGGGGGGGGTACCCCGCCCGATATAATATACCATTTATCATAAACAAAGCTTTCGTCTTGAACAAATCACTCTTCTCTCTTTCACTTTTATTACCTTTTTAAACTGAACTGACAGCTCTTCATAGAAATGCATCAGTTTCCTGTGAATCAAAAACAATCATATAAACCACAAAATACACGAGCTAAACAAGAACATAACGTAACCAAACCCAAGATCATATCAAAATGTATACTTCTATATACTTTCCAACTGTCAAGCCCCCTTCCTCCCCATTTCAACCCATTTTCAAAAGCGGTTCCTTTATATCTCTGCACCTTTTCCTTTAGTCAAAGTTACAACAATTCTGATTTGAATTTGATACTCAAGACAGTAAACACTATAGGACATCCACAGTGAAGACAGCATATCGTAACACTCATAAGATAAATGCCTTGGTCATTTTTAGCCATTCTGAGCAAATGAAAAGAAACTGTTTCTTTTGAACAATGGACTCTGTGAAGCACTTGAACTTTTGTACACTCAATTGATTTTATATTTGGATTATTCATTTGTCCAAGCAAACTACATTAACAAGCTGGCTCTCCTCTTCATTTCAAAACCAAAAACTCCAAACCCGTGAAGAATGACTTAAGCAATTATCTTATGAGCGTGAGGATATACAATCTCTTCTGACCCCATTTGAGACCCAATCTGAACTGGACTCAATTCTCTGATCATGTGTTAACCTAAGACATGAGAAACAGCAATATATATGGGCGGTGTTACTGAAAGAAATAGGTCAACATCTATTTTGCTCTTAAACCAATGCCGAGATCAGTCCTCTATTAGTAGTTTGAATTTCATTGAGTTCACTTTTATGTCTTCTCTTGTCATTTACATCAGAAGGGGTTTTTACGAGTGTTGATTAAGTTTCAAGCAACCAGTTACATGGTTATTGCATAACACCGTCAATTTGATAGAACATCTACTCACAATAGTTGTAGATTGCAGCATGCGGCACCTTTTCTTTAACATGGTACCATCACCTCCACACTTTTTAAAAAACACATAACAATCATAATTTCTAAACAGTGATATTGAACACCAAAATATTTGGAAAATCCAGGCAAAAGCAAACTGTAATTTTAAAAGAGTACTGATGCTATCGTAAAATTAATTGACACTGATCAAATTCTACATCACTTTAAAAGTAGCAATTAGAAAAGTTCTTTACCAGATAGGCATACATTGAATAAAATTTATTTTTAAAAAAAATTAATAGTATGTTTTAACAAAATGTGAATAATCTTTAAAACAAAAAATAACTGTCAAACCTCTGCTCGGATGTCACATAGGCAATGCAGTAGGGCCTTACAAATCCTCTGGCTGTATTGTCATATAAGACAAGGTGATGGACCTGAACATAAATGAAAGAGTCACACCAGATGTAACTTGAAAATATCTAAAGAACCTCTTTTCCCTTACAAATGCATTGGATGCCAAAGAGTGGCAACTTCAAAACATGATAATATTATAATTTTGACACACTTAACACTGTATTGTTTGTAACTTTACGTGGCACCATCTGCAATAAGAAATAAATCTTCTTCTCTAGGAACAATTTTATCCCTGATAAGGACAGACTCAAATGATTTTAACTGCTCCATGTTTCCATGAGCATTAAGAAAAAAAAGCACAATATACAGTTGAGCTTCATCATAAAACTCAGAAGAGCAAAAGAATTAATCACAGAACATCTGTCTGATTCATTGAATGTAAGCAAAAAACATCCTTTAAACAAGCATGGCTTTGAAATTTTCCAGCTAGGTATGGTAAACATTTAAAACAGTATGAAACCTCTGAATAAAAATTAGTGGCTTCCTGTCTTATCACAGGTCAGAACAATGTAAAAAACAAAACAAAAAACCCAGAAAAAACAGAACTAAGCTACAGAAACTACTTTGTACAAACTTGAAAGCAGCAAAATAATAATTTAACAATATTAACAATAATAATAATAAATTTCACTTAAACAGTGCATTTCCATTAAGAAAGCGCTGAATGCACTTTATATCAGTACAAAGAACAAACCGTCACTGCACTAGCATAACAGCATAAACTAAAGTTGTGCCAAAACGCAGCTAGCCTTGTATTTTGTTTGTTGGTACTATATTTATCTTTTGGTGACATAAAAAAAAATATGTGCAGGCACTTACAAAAGAAACATGATGCAAGGCAATTTTTACCATTAGTAGAAAATGATAAATAGTCTAGTTGAGCAGTCGTTATTTTTTTTTCCTTTATATTAAAAGTAACAAAAATGAAATGTGCCATTTTGCTAGCGCAGTGATGACAAGCACCACATGGTTCCAACAGTGATTTTTTCTTCCATGATCTCTCTCTCTATTTCTCTGCTGCCTCCCCCCCCCCTCCATCAAATCCCTCCCTCTCCAGAAAATATATATGTATGAGTATAGACAGTCACACACACAAAAAAAAACCCCGCTCAAAATAAAACGGGCACACACAACAACATACACATCGATCATGACACACAGCCAAAAGAGCTCAGCATAAAAAAGAAAAATCCATCTTTCATATATTCGGAAATGAGAGTAAAATTTTATCACAAAACCTACAGAATAGAAAATAGTGACGTACTGTACTGTACACACGCTAATAAAAATATATGGTTGATTTAAGATTTTAACAAGTAATGATGCAGTTGAAAAAAACTTACAAAAGCATACACTCCAGTTTCTGCATCTGAAAGTACAACCTGGGCGTCCTCTGTAATGGTAAATCCTCTAAACATTGGGGAAAGAAGAGAGAAGACATGTTTGTAAATAGAACACAGTAATATGCCAACACTTTAACTGAGTACAAAAAAAAATTATTTTTTTTCTTTTAAATTTAATCCACCCGTAATCACCTGCCACAGACCCTTCTCAAACTCCAAAATAAAACAAAAATTCAGCAAAAGTCTGTTGTAAATTAAGTGAAGCTTACCAGTAAGATGGACGTAACCGTAATTCTGTTAACTTGTAATATTGAAAAAAGTTCATATATATATGGCCTCTCATGCCCTGCTTTTCCTTGGATAAGCAACAAAGAACATGCAGCTAGAGGATCTGAGCATTCTCACACATCTCATATTCTCTCATGAATATCAACAGAGTGACAGCATGCAACATGCAGGCAGGATTTCAGTGTAGTGTGTGTGAGTTTGTGTGGGAGTGTGTGGGTGTGTGTGTGCGTGTGCGTGTGTGTGTGTGTGGGTGTGTGTGTTTGTGTGTGTGTTTGAGCATCAAAACTGCATTGCTATGTGCCAAAAATGGGACAAATATGTCATGCAGAGGATAAATATTCAGATCTTTGATATGAAATGCCAGCATGACGACAACATTTGCAAATTATAGTACACTCTCTTACTTTTATGATACATAAAAGCACTGGGAGAGACTACTGAGTTGAAAAACTGAGTTTAAAAAAAAAGACTGGTACCACCAGGTAGGATGAAAGACATTTATACTGTACAGGAGCAAAATACTTTCTAATCTACATCGCCCCTTCCCATCTCATTCTTTCTCCAATAGAGTGAGGCAGTCTTAGAAAGAAAACAGTCCGTCAACGTAATGATTTTTAACCCATGGAGTTTTATGTACACTAAACTTTACAGTAGTTAAAGGACCTGAGCACCTAGGTTTGCTTGGGGTTGCTGATAGATTTGCACCACGGCATGAGGATTTCGGATTTCTGAGAGCAGACGGGTAAAGGTAGAGTACACTCAGGCATGCGCTCAGGTCCCTTGGGTTAGCGCTTAGAGGTCCACTAGGTTAAACTGAGAATGACCTCATTCTATTCAAAGAAAAAAACTTACTCGGACGAGTTTTGATGATCCACTGCTAATATCCTCACAGAGAAAGCATTCTGGTCAAATTTTTCTCCTCCATCTTTTGGAATGGTCATCTGTCAATACCAAAACATAAAAATACAAAAAATTTTCAAATCTTATCAAACTTAGACCAAGGAGACTATCACAATTACATAAGAGTCAAATTCAACACCTATGGACCAAATATTAATATTTGAGCATGTCTAAGAAAGAGATATCATATCCCAGGTCCTCCAAATCCTACTCAGATATTCCTAAATAAAATCATTGAGTAAAGACTTCAAATATTTTATATTTATAGGATTCCTTCATTTGTGAAATTTTCCAGAAAAACAAAATGAGGGTTGCCAACCTCATCTCAAAGAAGCTGCTAAGCCAACATTCAAAGAAGTTAGTTTAAGTAGAGGTTTTACGGTGCTCGCAACCGCTGCACTGCATAAGGTCATATGAGCGCCAAGGGGTGGATGTCAACAGAGAAGTCCTTACAGGGAATCAGGCTTACTTTGCTCACCTCTCTAGCTTCAACAGCATAAAGTCTGCTTTGACTATCAAGGCACCCCAGAAATAGTGGGTCAAAAGAGTGTGACAAACATACATAAGAAGTCGAGGAAAAATGATGATAGTAAGGAAAAGGAAAGATAAAGCAGCAGTTCCCTGTTGCAGTTCAGACACAGTTATGAGCATGACATTGTTGAATCAGCTCATTTACAATTCTACTGTGCATAAGAACAAGCTAATGTCTCCTCTTTGGGAATGACCTAAAGACACTTCAGTCAGTGGCACTGCCCCAGGGGGGGTATTCGAAGAAGTGGGGCAAGTTTTACTAAAAATATGAAGAAAAAGGATTGTAAAAATATGAATGCTTGTCGAAAGAAAGTTAGTCGTCCAAAGTGTTATGACCATGGTACCTAATGCCAAACGGGCAACACAAGAGAAAAGTAATCATTTAGCACTATCAGCAAAATTCAAAATCGTGCTATTAAAACTCACCAATGGTTTTGGCCCCTCCAGCTCTGAAAACTCTGCTACCATGATGAAGTCTTCTGTTAATCCATTCTTTTCTTTGCCATGGCCCCATGGATGCTGAGGCTGATACGGCTGTCGCAAATATGCTGGCAGTCCCTCAGAGCTAGGGTTTTTGCCCTGTTGACTGACATTTTGCTGCGTTGATATAAAAGTTGCAATCTGAGCATATTCTCCAAACATATTTGCCCCACTGTTAGACACAGGATTCTTTCTGAACATCAGTCACCTGTGACAGCTTTCTTGTCGCACGAGGATCCCGACTTAAACTGTCATGATATAGGCAGGCTGAAAACATTAAGTTTGACCAAAATTAATACACATGGCAATGATAACCTGACAACAAGAGAGTCAACATTGAATATTTTAAACATTTTTCTAGTTAAATCACATTAGGCTGTTAGCTACATGCAGAAAAGAAAAGATGAGTACAATATATACTTGTGTGTGCATGTTTGGTTAAATGGTATGGGTTTAACGCCCCAATCAACTCTATTAGGTAATTTAAGAGGCGGCCTCCTAGTTTAACGTCCGTCTCCGAAAGGACCGAGCCAAGAGAGAAAATCGAGAAAACTGCCATTCCCAAGGGAGGGGGCAGTGGGGGGTGTATCATCTAAAAAAAACAACAACCAATCAATCGTGAATGTATGTAAAGGCAACAAAATGGAACAACACTTGGAGAGCAAGCATTTCGGCAATGGAAACTAGTTTGAACATAAATAATCATGGGGTGTAGGAGCAGAGGGTGACTGAAAAATATACAAAATCTTGAAAAAACTTGAGTTGAGAAGGGCAACAAGAAGTCTTGAAGCAAAATGAGAGAGGACCTAGAAGGTAGCAAAAGCATAGGGACTCATTTTCTTTAAAGACAATGTAATGAGCTTGCACATAGGCATGTTTTTTTAAAAAGAACAGAACTCTCCTATTTGACAAAAATCTAAGATAAAACGTTGTAACTATTCTCTGTTGAAGGGGGGGGGGGGGGGGGGGGGGGGGGAGGGATTACTGGATTATATGGGTCGTTCCACCAGTATGGTTTACCTTTGGTAACATCAAATTCAAAATTTCATCTTCATTACTGATAAATGTAACCAAGCAAGTCTTACAGACAAACATTTAGTAGATTTTGTCTGAAAGTCTCAGACCTCTTTGACAATCATTTCTAGTGAAACGCAGTGAATGATGAAAGAGTGACATCCACGACCGTGAGGAATGTTACACAGACAAACAAAAATAACAATTTTTACAAATTCAGTTCAAGTTAAAGACATTTATTTCTGTATTCAATGTCTATTTTAATTTCTTTAAAAACACTGAACGACATGAACAATTGAAAAGTATGTGATGAAGATGCCAGGAAAATTTCATCAAAATATGAGGAAAGCTACGGGACAAACATTGAAGAAATCTGATCTTTATTTTCCTCTCCAATCTCAAAAAATTATCTCGAAGTCTAAAGAGACTTGTTGCAAAGTATCACGAGGATGGAACAGTCAAGAGGGAGCAAAAAATTTGAAAAAAATATATGTCACACTAATGAAAAATATTTTGCTCAAATTGAGAGGATTGTCACCGGACAAACACAAAACATTACTTGTAAATCTTTCCAACTCCTATTTCAATTTAAAAGCATGTGCGTCACTACACAGTTGAATCAGGCGCTGGTCAATTTTTAGGCATATGGCATGGAGTGACAGTTGCGAGCGCCGTAAAACCCTGTTCTACTACTACTAGACCACAGTATAATCTTGAATCCTGTTTATTTGCCTTGCTTTTATTGAAAAATATACCTTATAATCTTGAATAGAAGTCGAGATATATTTGCGATTGAAGGAGGTGGGGGCATTTATCTCTACAGGTTTGATGAAAAGTGGATGCTAAGATTTTAGTAAAGTGGGATAGGAAAGCAATGACTCAATTCTGAAGTATTTTATAATGAATAAAACATAGCAAATGAAAAATATATAATAATTTTATATATTCTTACGGTTAAAATCAGGAAAATCCAGCTTCATCACGTTTGTTCTTTAGGAATGTTGAATGTCACTTTCATTTAATAAAATTCTTAAGAATGGAAGAGTGTGTGTGGTTTCTTTTCAAAATACACGCAGAGATCGGGCTACCAGAATTACTGGCGCCACAGTGAAATCAGGCACTTGCCAAAATAATGAAATAAAAGAAACCACCTTTATTCCGCCCTCTGGGCAAATTTTGTTGAATATTTCCAGTTACAATGTTCACTTAAAAATATATTTCTTCGTGGATTTTAAAGAAAATTGTTGATCAAAGGCACAAAAAATGTAACTGCAGTTTATAAGAACACTCTTGAAGCTTTGGAAGTCGCCAACTTTGGCTACCTGCTTCTTGCTAATTTTACTTTTGATACCAAGCGATCCCAAGATAGATGGGTAATGTTTGTTCATCAAAACAAGACCAATGTACAAGCTGTAAAATTATACCAATAACTCTATGTTCAAAAGTTTACAAGCATCCAATTCCACCATGTCATGACAGATGTATAATTGAAAATAAGAGAGTGCAAAACAGATGGTGACCCGTAACATTGTTGGGATTTTCTATGTTTGTAATGAACATTGTACCCAATGGGGATCTGTGAAAGTAAAGTGGAATTTATTTTCATAATTTTTATTCTGGAGGTCAATTACTTGCGACACTATAGTGACGAAAGCAACTCATGATTGTCCATGCCCTGCTAGGGCTGCCCAACCACCAGCTTATGTTTTGGTACATGATATATATGCCAGGTAATCAAAAAGCTAAAATATTCATAATATGGCCATGAATATTAGTCATCTTCCGTGGGGTGTCAAGAACAGCTGATTGTAGTCAAAAGTATAAATAACATAAACATGTAACATAAACAAAGTCGTGATGAAAAAGGGAGTCTTGGCAGACTTGTCAATGTCTAAAGTAGAAAAAAAAAGGTGAAGAGGGGAGAAGGGAATTACTGCTTTAAAAAACAAGCTTAGGAACCTTCAGTACAGCAGAATAACATTCACAAGCCTTTAATCCTGATTGTGCATCACAACACACCATGCCACCCACCCACCGTAGCTTGTCAAGTTTTAAACAATGCACTGAACCTTTTTTCTTAAATTCTCTCATTGGCCTAAAGATGTCACCCAACAACACAAAAGGGCAGGAATTTTCTTAACACCTCGTCAACTTAATCTTTGCCTTACTCCTGGCTTTGGCTTGGCACTCCTAAAGTCTAAAGCTTTTTTTAGAGCAAAGTGGCACCGAGCAACTACAAGGGCTCAATACAAAGACGGTGTTAAGACTACACAACACTACTTGACTAACTGTAAAGTTAGACAGCTGCACGTGATGTAGTGACAATTAGACTGTCCAGGTCTGGAACTTTTTCTCCCCTTAGAGCAGTGAGTTGGGGAAGCCAAATTCTTTTTTAAAATAGGTATCGGTATCATTGACGTTTATAAATTACAATACTATTTTCCTAAAATTGAATATGCCTAAAAATCATTACGAATACACACCAAATTTTTAATGATGGGCAGCCATGCCTCTGAGCTCTAGATTGTCATTAAGTCAAAGGCACAGCGGCAGTTAGAATTATAATATATATTCTATTTTGAGACCTATCTTCGGAGAACTTTCTAGACAGGTACCTTTTCTGGAGTTGAGGTGGTAAAGACGGAAAAAGAAACTATGCTCATTGACAATGACGATTAAGTCGGTTGAGGCTCTAGAAGAGCCTGTTCGACTATCTGGTAATGAATGACTATGCATTGATTGCGTGCAGGCTAGACATCAGTTTTGGCAAGTGGGGTTGTAGATCGTCAGGAGACCTTAAAATTTCCAGTAATCATTTCAGACAAAACCAAAAGGTGCCTTACTGACTTGCATGTATTTGAACCTGAATAATTACTAGATCTAGATCTAATGAGACCTGTGTACTTAACAGGCTTGAGTCGATAGGGCCAAACCTAGAACTAAATACGGCTATACTGGCAGTCTTGCCGTACTTAAGTACGGCTAGCCACTTCGCCACTTGAATGTGTCCACGTTTGGGGCTGACACCACTGACTCAGGTAGATTGTTCCAATATAGCATTTAGCCGATTTTTTACAAAGTTTGCCCTCACACACAATCTGCTTGAACTTTGCTTCTGGAGCTTCTCTGGGTTGCCACAGAGTTTGGTTGTTGCACACCTCTTCCAGATCTGGACAGTCTTTGTTACTACCAGGTAGTCGTCATAACGAAATGCGCATCTGCTTTAGACACGAGAGAAACATTTTAGACCTTCTTGCCTTCTAAATATTTCACACATGAGAATCAAAATACACAGGCTCTTCTTCCTCTTTCTGTGGCTGTGTATTCTGCAATAAAACTTTCAAACACACATCATCTTCACCATACACATTGTGAAAGGCTAGGCTAAAACATGGTAGAGTAGCCCCTACTTATATACGGCCTCCTCCTATTAAAACATTTAATTCAATTTTGACAAACAATGTGGTATACACACACTCATGATAAAAACAGCTGCTCTTCTGTCCAGTCCAGGTCAAACTTCCCTTTTAAAGCTAAAATATAGATACTATTTTTAGGCTGCTAGATCTAGGCCCTATTCTTGCTATTTTGACTTTTTTTTAAACTGACTCAAGCGACACAGGATACAAAGAGATACACTCATCATACTGTAATCAGAGGTTGTGTAAATATTACCCTAGCAGTCAGCAGTTCCAGTTCCAGTTCCAGACGAAGATGAGGCTGTACTGTGAACCGACATAAAGAATACAACAATACTCTTCAGAGCCTAGGACACAATGCTGTAACATTGAACTATGGCCTACATAGTGCAACCTCCCACCAGTATCATTATCAGACGACACTGACAAGACTGGGGAATTCAGGTTCGGGCATAATACTTATTTGCCTACCTTTGCCTTTCCACTCCCAAGGCCTTCACACAAGAAGAAGAATCTGTCGAGCTGACAGTCAGGTGCTCCGAGTTTCCGGTGATTGCCTTGCCGATAACAAGGCTAATTTACAATGGAATCTCGATTCTGGAGAATCAGCTAGAAGTGTGTTTTCATTCACATGTCTACAGTTAATAGAAGAATTAGTGACACCTTCTGACGATCAGTAATAATCCTAGGTTTTATTGATTTAGAATAATTTATTGGGGGCGGTTAGGTTTACTTCAGGTTTCTTTCGTTATGTGTACAAGTAAAGGTTAGTTCCTCTTTTTATAGAAACATGTAAACAAACATCAGTGAGTCTGAGTGAGTGAACAACAGTGGGGTGTCAGGTGGGCAAGTTTTCTGTTGACATCGTACTTTTAGAAAATGACATTGCATTTGTGCAAAGTACAGAGCACTTAACCTGTTTACAGACAGTTCTCTAATCGTAATTTCTGTTCCAGCTGTAATGTGGATAAATGTATACTTTCGAGCCCACATGTAGATATCTAGATGCATTTTTTTTAGGGGGACTAGATTTCTAGATCTCTAGATCTAGATATATTATCTAGATTCTAGATCTAGATTAGATCTAGATTCTAATTCTAGATATATTATCTAGATCTAAATCTAGATCTAAATATTAGATCTAGATCTAGAAATCTAGATCTAGGCCATAGATACTACTACTATAGTCTAGAATACTGCTGTATTTTTTGCTGCGAGAGGGAGAGATATACATTATTGATATTGTAAGGCTACTGAACCGGGAAGATTGAAGAATACCGGACCACTCGGACCACTCGTATACAAAAAAATAATACATTATTGTGCGAGAATGTGGGGCGGGTGGAGGAGGGGGAGGGGAATCTCCCCCCAGACAAAATTTTAATGAACAGATCTACCGGTCCGAGATTCTCCATGGAGAGATAAAAACTGGGGAAAATCATGAATTCCTAAGGTTGAGACATAGGCAAAGTCAGTCCGCTGGTCCGGTATTCTTCAATCTTACCACTGAACCTCCACAAATTTGACAAATTAAATCGATTGTTATGAAGAAAATACAAAATCTGACTTCAAACATCAATTTATTGTAAAATGTAGGTGAGGATGGGGCATTGTCATGCTCTCCTGACATCCCCCAGATTTTTTAAGGTCGGGGCATGCCTTTATGAAACCCCCACATAACATGTCAAAAACAAGTACAAGTGATAGCAAAAGTATTAGATCTAGATCTAGTAGCCTTGATTGCCTTGATCTAAGAGTCTAAGCGTATTATGTGATGTGTAGCCAAATTTGTATAAAAACATCCATACATCGCATGATATAATATTATATATAAACTAATAATTTGCTGAGTGGATAAGCCTATCCTATAAAAGTCAAACCGAAATGTATATGAGCATACGTGTAGAATTCGGAATGAACCAGTCATTGAATTGTCATAGGTTAGAATTAGGTGTGTACTTAGTAAAGTAAGTAAGTTTATAAGTCAGACTATTTCTTTAGTGGTACAACTTTTTAGCAAGAGAATACAACAAGTTGTGATCGAGACTTACAAAGATGCACACTTACTTACTTAAGAAGAGTAAAAATTGAGCATTGTTCCCCCCAATCCCCTCTATATCTTTTTGCATCTCAATGATTGTTCCCACAGTCGAAACTGCCTTATAACACAGCCACCTCATCTGTATCAACGCCACGTTCTCATTATTTCTTTAATTTTGCCCCCTTGCATTTTTTTCTATATATTTGACTCTGTACAGGCATAGTATTTTGGTGGTCTAGATGTACAGTGGAAACCTGCCCGGACAGGGATCCGGTTATAACAGGGATTTATTGAAATCCTGATTTTTCCTACTTGTTTTCTCTATTTAAAGTTATCGGCAATAACAGGGCCTCATCGGAGCCCAATCGGTTAAGCAGGGACAATTTAAAAGGCTCATTAACAATGTGTAAAAAGTAAGAGAGAGAGAGAGAGAGTAACGCAGTGATCGAGCAAGCCCATGCAAACTAGATGCCTCTGCAAGCACACGCAGCGGGTGAAGTGAGAGAGGGCTATGGTGTGGTGCTGACTTCGATCTAGCCCTAAGCCTAGCTACACGCACGTGTAGTGTGTCATGCGTAGGCCATGGGAAACTACCCATGAATAAATAAAGTTGGATTAGTCCACAAACGCTAACTTCCCTTGCATTTCTGTTTTAGCAGGGATCTGATATAACAGGACTTTTTGTCTAGTGCCGCCATCCCTGTTATATCAGGTTTCCACTGTAATTAACCTGTGGCTCGATTTGGCCATGCAGTAGTGCTGGGTGGTACTGGCGAAACCCAGTGTCGATATTTTCTCGCCGGTACTGTCTGAGTGACACCAGGAGGTAACGTCACAGTCTGTGCGTCTCACGTCTCGCCACGATCAGCACGGCCCGCATCCCCCCCCCCCCGCACACACACACAAGTCGGAATTTGAGAGGTGAAATGTGACGCAAAATACCTTTGAAGTTTGCCGCCGTGCTGGATTAAACTTTGCATGCAGAATTTTTAAAATAATTATATTATTGCCACTAAAAATTGATTTCATTTTCGGAATCAGCGTATCAAAATAAGCAAAGTGGCTCGCCGTGAATCTCATTTGAAGCCATATTTAAATCTAAGTAAATTTCGTTTTTGATTGTCAATTTTGAATCTGAAATCATGTATCGAGGTCACCTGCTGCGTTGTGCACCTGACATCACAGCTGCTAGGTCTCGGCCTAGGCCTACACACTGCACACTTCCCGTGGCCCGGTAAAAAGCTGTTGGTGTCGGCTCCTTCCCAGAGCCGTTATTAGAGGCCTGGTGCCGGCTCTGACACCTCCTTCGGTAAAACTGGGAATTCCGGTACTGGGTACCGGTACCTGCCCATCCCTACCTACCATGCAGGTGATGTACAAAATAACTTCATATAAGCATAGCCATCATTCAAAAGGTAACATGATTTATCAAAATGAAAGAAATTGAATGAGGAATACGTTCAAACATGAAACAAGGATTAATTTTGAACATAAGTGTCATACAAGGGTTGAGATTGGTGATGGTGTTGAGAAAAAAAAATTTGATGGAAAAAATTACCCTTACCAAATATGTGAAAGCAAATCAGCATAGCTACCTAGAATCTAATTATATACAGGCCAAGAACATAACCCACAATTTTCTGAATGCACAGCTTTTTATTTGAAAACAGTATTTCAATTTTTGTTTGAGTTATTATGATTTTTCTACCGAGTCCGATTACATCGTTCTGTTGGTTCAAGACTGCAAGAATGAATTACTCATTTATCCCCAAATGGACACTTTGACAAAGTGAAACTAGATATTTTCGTTTCCTAAATCCTTTCCAACTTTTCAATAACAATAATAAGTAGGCTACTTAGGTCCGCAAGGTGAGGACTCTCGCCAATATTTCGGCGATACATCTGAAAAAAGGTTTAAAATATAATATAGCACTGCGTAAAATGATAACCTGTCCGATTTGACTGCAGACACTAGATATTTTATCAACCAACAGCCCAAAAACCCTCCCTAAGGTGGCCATTCAAATCTTTCCAGATCATAGTCCAAGGCATTGTCATAATTGGCCCCTGACACCTTGGATGAGCCATCATTTATAATTCATTCACCCGTCGTGTTAGTCCCCTGAAATGAATGGACTGATCATGTTTTGTAAGTGCCTCCCACTGTTTGTACCATAGTTGACCAGGCAGTAATACATTTTTAGCTTCTGGTGAGGGAGGCATGGAACTGACATACCGATCGATATGTTGCTAAACAGGAGAGGGAGTAGTCACAGTGAAGACTAATAGCACTAAAAATAGAGGGGCAAATTTTGCCCCAGAATCAGTCATCTCTAAAAAAAAGTAATGCCTTCCATCGGTCGGTTGAAAGTGACGGTCGGCAACAGTCTGCATTAAGTATTGTATGTCAACTGGCTGTATGTCTGACCTAAAAACTTTATGGCGTTTCCCTCTAAGTTTTTATTTTTTATGACAATACATAGTGCCTTCTTCTTCGATAAAAAATAAAGAGTAATTAATTTAACCAAACAATTCAAATGAATACACAGAAAAGGTAAATCCATTGATAGTAAGTAAATACATGTAACCAAAAGTATTTTACAGATTTTGATAATAGCTATACCGGTCCGGAAACAAAAAAATAACAACAGTCATTATACAGTATTTTCAAAGAACAGGCAGCATATTCCCTCAAAAAATTCTTTTTGCATTTTGGTGGACCGCTCATGGAAAGGACCATAGAGAGAGAGAGTTTTCCTTTACCTAAATAAGACAGGAAGAGAGAGAAATGAGAGAGAGAGCGAGTGAGAGGGAGAGAGAAAATGTGATTTGAGTACAGATAATTTTTCTTTACATAAATAAGTCAGGGAGAGGGAGAGAGAGAGAGAGAGAGAGAGAGAGAGAGAGAGAGAGAGAGAGAGAGAGAGAGAGAGAGAGAGAGAGAGAGATAATAAAGACTTAGTGGGAAATGTCATAAAGTCTTTTGGTCACATATACAGCCAGTTGGCATACAATACTTAATGCAGACTGTTGCCGACCCTTACGACCATCACCGCCTGTCACTTTCAACTGACCCCCTTCCACATGCCCTGATTCCAAAGGGTTGTCTTTGTCGAATATGTTAAAAATGAAATGCAAATCAAACTGTCACAAGGCAGAACTTTCATGACATGAATATTCATGGCAGTTTCCATGTTAAATTGGTTTGTTTTGCTCTAACAGATTCCCTCAAATATGGCACAACAGGGTAGCAACAGCAGTGGCAAAAGAGACTTTGGGTCTTTCCATGCCTCGAATGTACAAGAGCTTCTTTCCTTGCCAGAGGTTGGTCATGTAGTGAAAAGGCCTTGATCATTTGCATGGATAACATTCAGCTCACTGTCAAAGGAATTATTTCCTAGAAAGTCTCTCTCTCTCTCTCTCTCTCTCTCTCTCTCTCTCTCGCTCTCGCTCTCGCTCTCTCTCTCTCTCTCTCTCTCTCTCTCTCTCTCTCTCTCTCTCTCTCTCAGTTGATAATCTCTTATGTCAAATTTTGCTGCTGTCAGAAGAGGAGGCTCTTGTAAAACCCAAATCCACATCAGATAAATAATCTTCCGCAATTGTAAGGTAAGTATCAGGTCAGTAGCAGTATCTACCTTCATTCACACAAACTCTTCAATCATGTAATGCTTTCTCCTCAACTCTTTTTAGAACGGTACCTAGATTTGCACTTGTCCTTACAGAGTTTTCTGAGATTTGCACTTGTCTTTGGAAAATGTTCTTCTGTAGTTCTAGTACTTATATATATATATATTGCTTTCCGTCACAAGTAGACATTTGTTACCTTTATGTAGGTGGTTAGAAGGTGCCACTGGTCAGTCTCTTGCTTTTTTTCTGTCCTTCTGTTATTTCTGTCTGTCTTTCTATTTCTGTGCAATGTTCAATGAATGTATTGTAATAACTTATGTTGTGTCTATGTGCCTCTGTTTGCTCAGATACCTACTTAGCGATTTTAATACCTCTGGTTTGAGGATTGAATTTATATGTGAGCTTCTGGTTTGATTTAGTACTGCTTCTGGTTCAAATATAGTTATATAGATGTACATGCACGCACACGCACACACACACAATAACTCACACATGCACTAACATATACACACACAAACCACAGAAAACCTTGGTATAACGTACTCGACTTAAAATGTACTCTCAGCTGTTACAGCTATAACGTTCATTTCCTGAAGTCCCAAGTCCCATTTAATATTTGACTCTCTAAAAGCTATTTCAAAAACGTACCGGGATTTTAGTAAAGTTGAGTTCTGACCCCTAATTTTAATTTGTTTGCGAATAAACGAGCTCTCATTTCTAGTGTCTGCAAATAAACAAGCAAATTTACAAATCACTTCCTGTATTAGAAAGCGAGCGAACAAAGTTATAGGTACACTGCAAAGGTTTATTATTCTTTCTGGCATCATGAACGAGCAAGATAGCTGAGCCGGTGATGTTAAATATGGCTGTGCACAAGAGTCAGCTCGCTTGCTCCACCGTAAAGTCAGATGTCACAATGCAATTCTGATGGACCTATATAGCAGATGGTATTAGCGAATCATTTAACCCAGTGCTCGCAAACCAGTCCGCTCGTTTTTCAAACTCGCAGGTAACTAATCAGTCCCAAGCGCTCGCAGCACCATTTGATATTAGTGATGAAAATTCTGTTTACAATGCACATAGTACATTGTGCGAATAAAGACGGATAACAAAAAGCGATAAATTTACCAATTTGCCATACTCAGGAATGCAGTGTAATCAGCTACAGTGAGGAGATGAGATTTTTGCAAAAATATGTCAGTTTTGACATCGGTGGACATTTGCAACCCCCACCCCTCCCCTTCACTCTTGTTCTCACTCTACATCACACGCACACACACACACTCGCACATATCCACTCACACACACACACACACACACACACACACACACACACACACACTCTCTCTCACAGACATGCATACAGACATACATGTGCATGCTCACATGTGCTCAAGTGCATCCAAATCCTTTTCTTCCTTCCTACTCCAGTCCCTCACCCTCTGGTTTTCGTGGTAAAAAAGAAATCCAGATGTTAACAACTTGGTGCAAGGAGGTCCCGGCATTCCCAATGATCAACTCATGATCACCATCTTGATCTCCACCCCACCACATTCATTAATTCCTATGCATGTATGTCTATGTCACTTAGATGATTTGAAATAAAGAAAAGCATCCAAACAAATCAAAAAGCTACCAAAAACCCCCCCCCAAAAAAACTGAAAAGGTTGAAACAAACACTCTTCAACAATCATTATCTTTTCTATGGGTGCTGTCCCACCTCCCCGTTATGGATATATGTCGAACACATTTGTCAATCCCCAACACGTTTGAGTTATTCTTGCTTGGCTAGATATATTAATTATAATTATTATGAAATATTTTAACTTTCCACTTGTAGGTGATGCCATGATGAAGTTTGGCTTTCCCTTGCTTTGTGTCCTCATTCTGATGTGTTGTACACTAGCATTCAAACTGAAAAGTGAATGTGATCTTATGCTTCATCCTTTTTGAGATGTTAAAGACAGTGACATCAGAAGACAAAATCTGATAATAAAGAGCTTGATCTTTCGTATATCTGAGAGTGGATGGTTGGGGGTGCTCTGGTGTGGTTTGCTACTTCTGTCCTATCCATTCCCACCTCGGTGAAGTGAGGAAAATTCATGTTAAGTGTCTTTCCCAAGGACACAACATCAGGTACCTGACGGGATTCGAACCCACAACCTTACGGTTGTGAGTCTGAAAGCCTAACCACTAGGCCACCAACGCCACAAAAATATGAGTGGCCATATTAGACAATTTCAACTGTACATGTTTTTGTTTTGTCACAGGAAGCCTGCTGCTTTTTGAATCACGGAGCATTTGGAGCTGCCCTGAAACCAGCATTACGCACAATTCAGGTGAATGAGTCATTTCATGCTCTGGACTCTGCTTATATTTGTCGGTGCGTTAATCTAGTGTGTCTTTATTGTGCTTACTTTGTCCAACCTCGTTCTGCCTCTAGGTAATTAGGGAGGTGCAGCTCACAGGCTTACTTTCAGATTACATCTACAGTGGTTTAAGGTTGATTTATGGTACCTTTTTGCATGCAGTCTTTTGATGTTTTCATATTTTATTGGTCATTTTTATAAACAGTCGTGCTTTAGACCGAGTATACATTCAAATACTAGAAAATGTTTCCAGGGGTCAATACGCGATGCATTACATGACAGGAATTAATATTACTGAAGCTGGACCCTTGCAAGTTTTCCTTTTTTTTTTTTATCTTCTTCTCCTTTTGTTACCATGAAGATTCAAATTGTGTCAAGGATGAGATTTGTAAATTTCCTTTTTGAAAGATTGTCAGTGGCAGGTTGGGAGCAGAACATCTACAGTCATATCTACTTTATTGTCAATTCTGATTTTATACCATATTGATGCAACAGCGAGTGGTGACAAACTTGACTTACACCATTTTTGTAGTTGAAGAGAATGCTTGTCTTAAAGCTGTGGTCGCAGACCATGTATAGAATAATGATCATGGAAATTATAGCTTTGATCGCGTTGTTGCACAATTTTGCTTTCATTATTTCACTAATGAATATTTGCACACTGTATAAAAAAAGATTTTTACTTATTAAGTTGTAAAAAATTGGAACCTGTGATATATATATATAGATCTTAGTTCATTGTTGCACTGTCCATTGTTACATGCAAAAGCCTTTATATCCAGTATTTTCAGATAAAGAGATGTGGTCCCCTCCCCCACCCTCTCCCAATACCTATTCTTAGTGTAGTAATGATTAAAATTGAATGTTGCATAAACACTTGTAAAAAATTATGAGGCTTCTTGTTTGTTGCGCGCATGATACAAAAGAACGAAAAAAGGCTTGTGCATTAAATTAACACTTTTTAGGTTCCTCAAAATTTTCTAAAGTGATTTGTCTCTCAAGTAAAAGCCAATTTTTTTTTCAATTGCAGTTGTGGCAAGATCATGTTGAAAAGCAGCCATTGAGATTTTATGATCGAGAGCTCCTGCCATTGCTTGTCCACGTGTGCCGACGACTGGCAGATTTTGTTGGTGCGTATGACTGGGAGAATAGAACATATAATATAAGACTAAGAGGAGAAGTACATTTTTTAATCTGCAACACAACTGATTTTTTGGCATAACTTTTAGTCATTCAAGAGTGCAAAGACCTTTCAAACAGCCTTTTGCTTTCATAAGATTTCAAAGGTACCATACTCCAATTTTGTAACCAGCTACAGGGTTTTTTTGGGGGGGAAGAGGGGGGGGGGGGGGGGGTTCAATTATTTGATAACAAATTGATTTTAAATATTTACTTCTCCTTTATCATATATCTCAGGCGATTTTTTTTGCGTTTGTTGTTTTGTTTTTTTCTTTCATCAAAAAAAGAATGCTTTATTGTAAAAACCTCTTGAAATAAAAGATGAGGTCCTTGATTTCTTTTTTTCTTTCAGGGGATGATGGGATTGGGGGGGAATTAATCTGATTATATAATTTTGGTGGTGCAGAGCTTAGAGTCACTTTTTAGAAGAAATCACACACTCTACAGCCCTCAAAATTTAAATGAAGGCTGTATTCGATATGACTTAGAGCATAATAGAGTGGGATTTTCATGATTTTGATCTCCATGTATTTCTATAAAATATGCCAGAATTGAGCCCATGCTTTCCAACTCCTCTTTTAAAAAACCTAAGTGTCCATTCTTCAGTTCTGGTTCAAAGCCTCATGGATAAACGTAAGTCAAGGGGGTGGTCACGGGGTGTGTCCTGACATTGTGCATTATTTATGCTTTTAGGTATTGTTAATGTTTTTGTGTATTTATGTATGTGGCGTCAGTGGCCTAGTGGTTAGGCTACCGGACTCGTAATCGTGAGGTTACGGGTTCAGGGGTTCGAGCGGCAGGCCTGATGTTGTGTCCTTGGGAAAGGCACTTTACACAAATATTCCTAACTTCACCCTGGTGGGAATGGGTTCCCGACCATAGTCAGGGAATGATCTTGTCAGTATGTTAGTGTTTTAGCGCCTATAAATGGCCGCTTGCACTGTATGATTCCCAAGAAGTTAAAGTTGTTTCAGAATGCTCTCAGGTTTGCTGAGGTAATAGTATAGATTGTGAAGTGCACAGAGCTTGCTGTTGAAAGGGAATTTGAGCTATGCCAATGCTGTCTATTACTATTATTATGCCATTATAAAACAAATTTCCCGATGGAATCAATTAAATGGATTTTATTTTATTTTTTATTTTTGTGTAATAGACAGATATACTCCAAAGAAATGACAGCAAGACTGCCATCAATTAGTTGCCTCTGTAGTGGCGGTCAAAAGCAACACACGATGGTCTAAGCCCTTAGCTCTAAGATGTCATGCTAAAAGCATTCTGACAGCTAGTGGCATTATATTCGAATCATAATAGTTATTTTCCTCAGGCTGCGATGCAAGAGATCTTGTTCTAATCAACAATGCTACCTTTGGGACCAATTCCGTCCTCAATAACCTCTCTTTTGTCCCTGGTGATGTCATCCTCACCTTTAACACAACGTATGGTAAGATTTATTCAATTATTGGATTTTTTTATTTATTGCATTCTTCCTCTGCTTTCCCAGTCACAGAACTGGATGTGTTTAATAATAAAGACTTTTGGAATGTGACTTTTAAAAAATATGACCCCAGCTTATATAAGACAGAATTCAGCAGTGTAAAAATAAGGGGGGGGGGGGGGGGAGAGATGTTAGTGTAAACAAGGATTTTGAATTTATGGTACATTCCAGTAGAGGTGGGATGTTGTACGTGTTGTGACACATTTTGACTTGAATAACATGAAATTATAGTGTCCATGAAGAGAAATAGAAGAAATAAATTGCAACAATGCTAACACTTCCCCTCATACTCCTCACTGATAATAGTGATAGGAGTGATATCAGGGTCCTCACACAACAGGAAAAATGGAAGAAAAGCCAGGATATTTTCAGCTTTCTAGTTAATTAACCCTTAAAATTCTGGTCCCTGATAAATGTTTGCCCGATAAGCGCAATACCGCGCGGCGCTCCACAGCTGGTCCCTGATCAGTCGTCGTCCCGCGCGGGCAACGCATTTCGTTTAGTGCGAGGTCTGCATCTGTGTGCTAAAATGTGTGTGCGTCAATCTGCTTGTGCCTGTGTGTCCATCTGGAACTTACTGCATTGTTTTGCAATGCGAGGCGTTGGTAGAGATAACAGAGCATCGGTTGAGACGTTCATCCAATGAAATATGAGCATTTTGACCCAGTTAGACACTTGAGGGACTCGAAAGGATATTCAGGAAATAGGACTTTCATCTTTCAATGCAAACACCTTTCCTCACTTTTCTAACGATCTAATTCTTACACAAAACGTTGTTTCCAGATGTAAATAATCATATTTGGTGGTTTTTTAACCATTGTCCTACCAGAGGGAGAAATTTGAGAGCAACTGAAAAAAAAAATATTCGGAAATTATCCCATTTTTTTCCTCTTTCGAACAACAGCTGATAAGCAGCTGTTCGCAAGTTCATTCATGATAGGTGTGAAATCTGGAAAACTCTGGAAAAGTTATTCGATTTGGTGTAACTTCCAATCTCAGCGTCTCTGATCAACCGACGAGGAGATAATGGGATTATTCGTGTGATCGTAACACTTATTCATTGATCGTATCAGTTTGCTATAAAAGATGAGGTGTTTCCCTGACCTGCCGCGGCACGCTCGCGTGACCAGTGTCTGACCTCGGCGCCCCGCGGCACAAGCTCGCAGGCGATGTAAGTGGCTCATCGATCGATAAGAGCCCTCTTCCAGTTAACCCCGCAGGACTAGAGTTAAAAAACACCATATGAAAATGGATGAAAATGAAAAAAAATAATAGGAGAAAGTTAGGAAATTAAACTAGCCGATAAAAAATAACCTGTCATCAGGCATTTCTTTATGTGATCATGTAGCTTATTGTTTAGTAGAATTAAGTTTAGCCAATGCATTTCTCTTCATTTCTTCTTCTCTCTTCGTCATCTTTAAAACAAAAATTGTCTTTGAAAATAGTTACAACCTTCAGGAGAAAATCAAGGAAAAAAATTGGGAAATTTTTTTCTCCTTGATGAATAGGAACCCTAGATATAATATACTTAAGGTCAATAGAGCTCTTTTCATTGTCGTAGAATCTGAAACCTGATGGAGTGAAGGGTTTAGGTCTACTATAAAAGCTGGTAACGACACATACAGTTGAGTACAGATAACTCGCGCTCATCTGGGATTGTTAACTGTGTTTGACCCGTCCATAATTCAGGTTAACCGATAAATGAAAAATTAAAGAGATACCAGTTGAACAGTGGCAAATTGTACAAGCTATCGATGATTTCCAGTTTTCCGTGTTGGAATTATCTGTATTTGACAGTATGTTTCTGTGGATAAGTTCAATAATCTCTGGCTTGATTTTAAACTAGTTCATATTGGTTAAAGACCTACTGAACTTTGATTGTGATTGTCCTATTAAGCCACTCATTAGTTTTGAAAGGAAGACTTAAACTTAATCGTTCTTACTTGAGGCATGTCTCAGTTGGAGTGAATGCAAGAGTTCAAAAATTGATTGAAGTTTAAGAGACTGCCATCTTCAATTTTGAAATAATATATAATTTGAGTTTTTAAAAATTATTTCATGACTACTTGTTTTGGGTTTTTGTTCATGTCTGTTTTTTTATGGGGGTTTTGGGGGGTTTTTTTGCAGGTGCTGTAAAAAAACTAGTACAACACATCTGCTCCAAGACAGGTTGTGTGAACAGGGAAGTGGTTATTCAGTTCCCAGTCTCAGGGAAAGAGGAGGTATGATTAGCGATAGTTAGCATGTTCTACCTCTAGCTTTCCCCACACTGAGTGCCCACCTTTGCTCGAAGATGTATTTAATTAGTAAATATAATGGGGTTCTTTTAACACTTCAAGATCTTTTATCCGCCCGTATCAAGACCAAGCTAAAGGGTAGAGAGCCTTGAAAATGTCCTAAGCAACCCAAATGTAAGTACATCTCTTTGCAGATTTGAACCAGGTTCATCTGCGCTGTAGTTCAGGAAGCGATCAGAATCTAGCATTGTTGTGTCAGGGGCTCACTCGGGTGCATAGCTCCTTTAGGCTGAGGGGACCAAGGCTCAAAGAGTTATGGTTTTAATTTATTGTGAGAGTTTTTTTTCTTTTTCTTCTTTTTTTTTCCTGGAAAATATCGGGGATGTCTTACTGTAACTTTTTCAACCCACAGTGCAATAGATTATTTTTGCATAAAGTGTTTTCATCTTTGAGTGGAGATGCCTTTCAGTCAGCCATAAGCCATTTTCAAAGGTACTCTAATTTTCAACTGGACGCCGATTTTTTTTTTCTTTTCACCTTTAACACTTTGCGGTCACTTTGGGCAATAATGCGCCAGTGAAAATGATCCATATTAGTCACCTGGCACAGTTCTGTGCCGGGTCCAAAAAGTCAGTTGCAGTTGCTATCCTGGCTGGGTGACCAGATGGGGTATTTTGTATTGCTGGCTGTGTGACTGCAAAGTGTTTTGGCATGAATTGATTTTTAATGCTATCTTTTGCCCCTGTTTTTCTTTAACTCGTACTTGATAAAACACTGATCTGATGCTAAGACCTGTGGCACAGGGGTGAAACCACTGCTTACATGTTGTGTATGTACACTTTGGATATAATTTACTTCAGTGCATCGTCTTGCCTACTTCTTCCTTGTTTCCTCTGCTAAGCTCAGAGCTGGATTCTGTACCCTCCTGATGTCTTATTTGTTCCACTGAGGACTTACAATTCATGCAGAGGCCAAATAAATACAAATGCTTTCTTTTCCTTACTTTGATTTTCATTGTTTCATAAGTGGGGTTGTTTTTTTTTGGGGGGGGGGGGTTCATTTTTTAAAAATGCGAGTGTTCAGAAATGATGTAACCCTTACAGGACAAGTCAGTTTTTAGCCCTCACTTCCCTCTGGCCCTGGTAATGCCCGAGTCCTTGACCCCCCTCAGGCCCATCTAATACTGATTTCGTGGTTGGTTGGTGGGTGCTCTGGTGTGGTTTGCTCCTTCTTTCCTGTAAAAAAAATCTATCTTCTCTATCTCCCCTCCTTCTTTTTCGTGTTTGTTACTCTCTTGTAACGCTTCTAATCTTCGGCACTTATATGACCTTATTGTGTTGTAAGTGCCATAAAACTTTTACTAAAACTAAAACTAATAAGGGCCTACTGATTTGGTCCACAATTTTGTGCATAAATCAAAAAATATTTCTGAACTTTTAGGAGATAATTTATATACGGTATTAATATGTTGAATATTTTTAAAAGACAATTGGTTGTTGTTCTTCATTTGCATTTGAACTGCTCAAACAGACTATCTATCCAAGATGACCTCTTTTCTCCTTGACAGTGGATGATTGTCTTGGTCAGGTTAGACCATATATTTTGTATACCGTATGGTCTTGTGCCTCAACATTTCACACCTATTATATCTTTTTCGCACTATATGTGAACTTAGGAATTAAGAAACTGTAAAACATCATTCTAGCTCGCCATTCCTTCTCATTTGTGATAAATTGCAATATATTATAAGTACAAATTCCATCACTGGTTTTTGGTATGGTAATGAAGTAAACTGTAGTTTTCGTAGTATTCTAAAATGATTCAATAAATGCTTTTGTATTTTTAAAAATCTTTCTCTTTACTCAGCTCTTAGAACGGCTGGAATCTGAACTGAAGAAAGATGATGTAAAACTGGTGGTCATCGATCATATTCCAAGCAACACTCCAGTTGTTATGCCTGTGGAAGAAATGGTTCAGATGTGCAGAAAAAGGTTCCCTCCGTTGTTTGTCTTATTTTTTCCTCTGACTACTTTAGAACAATTAAAGTTGCATGCAATAAGATGAACGCTAACAAATTCCTTTTTTTAAAAATGGAAACACTCTTTTTACCTCATCTTGTTTAAAAACAACAATTTCAGTCTTAATTGTCTTAGTTTTAGTTCCAAGTAACAAGGAACTACTGTGTAGGGCACTGTTTTGAATCTACATCGAGGTATTCTTGAATTTGTAGGGAGTGATCATGGCTCTTCCTTTGCTTGGTTGTGTCCTATCGGAGATTTTATTTTTAACTCGAGGTCAGTTTTGAAAGGAAGTGAAATGTGTACTGCTCTATACTTAAATGTACTCTTTTACCCACCTAACAATTTAGCAGTATAGACCCTGAGTAAGCTATCAGCATCTGTGTTCAATTCCAGGAGAGGTAAATTGTTTTATCAAATATCTTGGTCTTTCTGTTGGGATGCTGTGTTTCACTCTGCTTACATTGACCTTCCTTAGCCTTAATCGACAAAGGTGAAGCAGCTGGTCTCCTTAATGATCTAAATTGTGTGGCGTAGAGAGTAAAAATTTACAATCATTTTCAGTCTATCAGGGGACTGAATTTGAAATTAAAAACATGTTATTTATTTGCAGAAATGTTCTCTCTTTCATTGATGGAGCACATGCTTTGGGTTCACTGGAATTTAATATTTCGGCAATCGATCCAGATTTTTATGTGTCCAATGCACATAAATGGTTGTCATGCCCGAAAGGAGCTGCTTTCCTGTACGTGAAAAAAAGCTGGCAAGAGATGATTAGACCAGCAGTAATTTCCCATGGATTAGGCTCTGGCTTCAGTTCAGAGTTTATATGGTCAGGTTAGTCTTTATAATTATTCTTTTCTGGGGCTAAAACCGAATGTGGTTGTTGTGGTCAAATTTGCACTTAACTGATATTTTGCTATATATATGGTCGCTTTTAAGCATAAGGGGGCTATCCTGAAAAATGTTGTTTTGAGAAAATCGAAGGTAAAGTTTTTGCCCCTTGTTCAATTTCTTTAAAAGACAAGGGGACTTTTCTCTAGAATCAAGCAAATATACACACCAAAGAAACCAAACTTCTCCTATAGGTAGGGCAATGCCCACTTTAGGTGCAGGTCAAGATTTCTGGAAAACCGCCGAAATCTGGGTTAGCCCGCTTGTCCTTAAAAGCGACCATATATGGTAAAAGTAAAGCTCTGATTTGTTTTCGGGGATATTACTTTAACTGAAACAAAGAAGACCTATTTCAGCTTTATTTTTCTTTGTTGTGATTCATGTTGATCATTGGACTTCATATTTTCTTTAATCTTCTCCTTTCAAAATAATGGCGCTCGTGATGTAATGGTTAGGCTGTTTGCCATTGCACAGGAATGTGCGTATTTGATTACTGTGATTGGAAGTTTATTTTGCTAAGTATTTTTCTCATTTTGCTGGGGCGCTGTATTCCAGTCAGCGACTGTTGGCACTGATGGGTAGGGTTGAAGCAATATGCTTTCAATATAGTATATACAATCGAACCTGTGTAAGACGGAATTGCAAGGGAGCTAGAAAAAAATTATGTCTTAGACATTTAGACATTTTCCATTTTAGACAGGGGCATTTAGGGAGAGTTTAGGGAGAGGTTGGGGGGGGGGGGGGGCGCAAAGGCCCAGCGGGTAGGATCAACTTGAGTCGCTTGTCTGGTCGGCAAGCAGTGGTCAAAACTTCTTACCTCTCTGAAAATGACTTTTCATCAGTCCTACTTTTCCAATTACCACTTGTACTTGCTTTTCATAGGACCACTATTCGACCTATTAAAAACAAAAACGCCTGAACATCTCCTTTGCTTCCACCCCTGGCCCCTCCCATCAGTGTAATTAGGACAGTCAGCCAATGCCACCCCTCCTGTGCTTGTATACAACAATTCGAGGAATTCTTTTCTCAGATAGCCCTATGATCAGGGCAGCAGCCATTGGTCAAACTAATTTCACACCTCTGGCCTCTGGCTACCCATAAAGTTTCCAAGCTGGAGTGCCTTTCGAGCACTTTCACAGGCACTGTAGAGATTTCATACCTACACTACCCTGTCCATGTTCTTACATGGATGGGGTCACATCTACCCCCAAGTTGTGCCCCTACTCCCCTTCCTCTCCTGGCAGCATGGCCTAAAGCTTAGAGCCGATGGAAGCAAAGTTGATAATTTTTTAAATTTCAAATCAGGGCTGAGCTGGCAAAGCAATTTTCATCTAGGCAGGTTAAAAACTCTCCGAAGGGAAGGAACTTTTCTTTCCGCTTCTGCGTTGGACAGGTTTCCATTTTATAGAGGTATTTATAGAGAAATTTATCAAGGGTGGAGCGGAGAGATTCCGATAAGGTAGGTTTCCGTCTTACACAGGTTTCCGTAAAAGACAGGTTTGAATGTACTGTGCCCATGGGAACATTGTACATTTAAGTAACTATAAAATATATTTAAAGGAATTGGTTAAATGATAAAGTTTTCCTTCTAAAGTAAAGTGCCTTGCATAGTATGGGAATGGGCTATGTTCTTTTTTCATCTTCATCACACATATATGCATTGAGGTCTCCTCAATTGCACTTTTTCAATTTTTCAAGGACACACCAGGTCTATCATTGTTTCTTCATTATTGTTCTCTTCCAAGTCTTGTTGAGTCTATCTTTACAATGTGGGCTCGTATATATGTCTTTTTTCTCTTAGGATTTCATAGCTTGTTCCCCAGACATGAATGAAGTAATTGTACTGCAAGCTTTTGCCTAGGGTTACTTTCAGAGACCAAAAACTTCCAGTCCAGGTATAATGTTTGTTTGATTTGGTATATCATCATAATAGAATCAAATACAGTCAAACTCCATTGTACTGCCTGATAATTATGCCTTCATACAGCCAACCATCAACTGTCTGAGTTGTGCTGTCCTTTTTTAACTACTGTAAATTTACCTGCCATACCGCTTGCGAATTGACCGCTAGAGGTACACACTGCACATGATGCACAGCACCCACAGGTTTGCTACTCGATAATCTTTTTCCCATGAGAAAGACATAAAGATAGAGAGAGATCAGACTTTCAGCTCTGAATACATGTGCATGTACATGTGTATCACTAACGAAAAGACCTTTTCTAAATACAAATTGCACGCTAGAATCATGTTAACATTTTTGCGTGCCCTTGGCGCAATAATGCGCCAGTGAAAATTATCCTTTCTGGTCACCTGGCGCTTCTACGCCAGGCCCGAGAAGTCAGTTGCAGTCGCTCTCCTGACTAGGTGACCACATGGGGTATTTTGTACTGCTGGCTGTGTGACTGCAAAGTGTTAATTGACTTTTGGCTGTCTTAGTTATACAACAGAGGAATTCTGTTGAACCGTCAGCCCCATTGTACCCCCATCGTCATGTTCGTCTCAAGGGTGGTGGCATAACAAGGTTTGACCATATATGTTTTCTACTCTTTGATTCCAAATCGCCACTTCAGTGGTGTTTTTGCTTCCACGTTTTAACAGATCAGCTCTTGCGTGGGTTTTTTTGGGGTACCAATTTTATTTGTCAACCTCGAGATCTACACCTGGTCCTGTGCTACATTTGCTACCTATTTTCATCCATACTTTGAGTCTCTGTGCAATTACGAATAGTTTGAGTACCCACACAAACAATTCTATCAATATTTGACTGAATTATAGCCATTTTAAGGTAACACCCTTTGCCGCCTGGTGAGTAGAATTGTGGAATACCTTGCATAAAAGACTTAAAACTCAGAGCAGTAGACCTGCTAGCAACAGTATATAAGAAAGTTTAAAGGAAAACACATGATCACTCTACTTTTTTACATGTTTGCTTCAGTTTTAAGGCTCGCCCTGTGGTTTTTCAGGAGTGTGTTTTTTGTTGTGGCGGAGCTTTGATCAGTAAAATCGCCAAAAAAAGCTGGAAGAAAGGTGTAATATGTTTGAAGAAAAGATGCTGCTCCCATACCAGATATGTCTTGACAAAAAATCCCCCCTCCCCCCTCTAATCTTAATCCCACCCCACCCTCATTGCCAGCGGGGCAGCTTCAACTTGCCTACTAAAGTTAGTATCAAATGATCACAGCACTAGCAAAAGGGCCCATCTCATTTTTGCTACTTTTGAAATAGAGAGAAAAAACTGTTTATCTGGACTATTTATTATCTAACAATGGTAAAACTTGCCTCGCATGTTGGTTTGTGACTGCCAGCGCATCTTTGTTTTGATTTTTACCAAAAGGTAGATATAGATATATATAGTACCACCAAACAAAATAAAAGGCTTGTTGCATTTTGGCACTACTCTAAGTTATGCCATCTTGCTAGCGTAGTGACGATATATATGTATGTTGCCTCCATGTGAGCATTGATTTTCATGTTTTCAAATTTTTCAGGTCTTCATGATTACAGCCCCATGTTGTCTCTGCACACGGTACTTGACTTCTGGCTGGCCGTTGGACCACAGAATATTCGAACATATATGCACAAGATGGCTCAAGAAGGAGGTGACTATGCTACAGTTGAACTCGGATTCAACGAAGTCGTCGGGCTGGCCTTCAATTTAATTGAATCCAGAGTGTTCATTTTATGGCAAATATGAGGGTTTTGTGTTGATATTTAGAGGCACCGAGTAAGTAATGTATAATGAATTCGACTTTCTTAATCAAAAATACTTTGATTTCAAATGAGAGACATTTTCGTTTCTTTGATACAGTACCAAAGAATTGCTGGAAAATTCTAGGAAATGCACTGAACTCTACCATGTACACACTGTGCAAAAGGACCGATTTGTTCAAGTGCACGCCTATGTCATTTACCATCTATAGCGTACTGTTCGCCAAACAAGTTATGCTGCTGTGTAGAGTCTAGCATACGACAATGTTTGATTCCACAGTCCAGCGTGCAATTCATTACGTAGATCTATGTCAAAATTAGCTTATCATTGTAATAGAATCTATTGATCTGTAGCCAGAGAAAGAAATGACTGTGACGCGTTTATTTCTCTTCTGACGTTCCACACTCCGGACTATTTTTTTGTACTAGGAGTAGCAGTAGAAAGGCTGCAGTAAGAGTCAGAAGCCCAGAGGAGGGGGGCTAAGGAGGTGAGGGGGTGGGGGCAGAAGTGGAGACGAAAGCAGACGACAGAGAATTGCTAGAGTTAGAGAACAGGAAAGGATGTGAAAGGAGAAAATTATATTAGAGAAGAAAATTTTCTTCTGTCACTATCCGGATTTGAACCCGCGAATGAGAGGCGAACACCTTAACCTCCAGACCACAAGAGCGCCCCAATATTGTTCTATCCTTTTTTCTTTATAAAGTTTATGATTTTTAAAAAAATGTTCCCAGTACTAATAATAATAAACATGTTTAGTTTGTTTCTGCTAGGTTTCTTTCTCGTTAATTAGTCATAATGTCCTTTCCATTATTTTCAATGTCTTTTCCTATCTGTTAAGAGCTATGCTAATTAATGAGACTCTTCATGAACATATGCATTTTCTGACACACACACACACATAGGCACACATGTACGCACACGCGCACACACACACACACACACACACACACTCACACACACATTCACACACACACACACAACCCTATCAGTGGAATATATAGAGCAAATAATGATTGGTCTTTTAAAATAAAAGGCAACAATTTTTTAAGAGTCCTCTTTTTGGGTAGTTTTATGTATCTTCTGTTTTTTGTTTCAGCTTCTGTTTTAACCAAGTCTTGGGAGACCCGGTTGGCCGCTCCTGCTGAAATGTTTGGTATTATACTTTCCTTATTTTTTTTACCTTTACATGCGTGCTTAAAGAACCTCAAAGTCGTCTTTGCCGTTCATAAGTTACAGTATTCCAAGACTGTGAACATGTCCAAGACACAGTGCAAGCCCAAATTTAGAACAAAGAAGGCTATATTCGTGAACCATGTGAGGGGGTGCGAAATTTGAACGCACTTCCTTTCTTCGCTTTTTGTTTACTTTTTGACTCTGTATATATATATAGACCTTTTTGCCACGGAGTATTGCATGAAAACTATGACCTATTTTTCCTTCAAATTTTCAACACACACAAATAAAAGTTTGAATAAAATGCGTACCAAATTTGGGTAGTATATGTGAAAATTTAGGGGTTTTTTTTCAATTTTTCAAAAAGTGTTAAAAATCTCTAGCGAGAGCTGACAACCCGCAAGTGCATGCCAAGGGCTGAGCGAGTTAAGAGGTGAGACCAGTGAATTTGACATTCGTCTCCAACAGGACTGAGTCTTGTGGTTGGGAAGCGTAGAAAATACCCCAAACTATCCAAGCTCTAGAACACCGGGGATTCGAACCAGGATCATCCACACTGTAGTCCAGCATGATACCAAATAAACAAATTTCTATACACCCTTTTTTTGAAAAAAGATCCTCTTTCAAGATTTGACAATTGAATGGATTTCTTAAATTCTGTGTAAAATTTATAGATCTCTGTGTGTATTGGTTGCATTTTATATTGTGGAAGCTATATACAGTGGGTGTCGCATTCACCGAGGTCACATTCAACGAGAAGTCGGCTCCAACGAGGCAATCCTTAATCCTCGATTTTTTCATCTATATCTCTTTGTAAATGTATGTCAGCTCCAACGAGGTTGCAAACAGACCAAATCTCTTTCCAGCGAACACGCGATAACCAAATAAAAGCAATTATCAGCCACAAAAGCGAAGAATTTTTCTCCTTTTTCTCCATCTCGTGCGAAGCACAAGGTCCTTCCTCGATTCCTAACACATTGTATTACTTGATCTACTGTGCCTCCTAATATATGGGTCCCAAAGCCAAGAGGAAAGGCGATGGTTAGCCTACCGTAGGGATGGGAGGGGGTGGGTGGGAACGCGATGCGGGCTGTGTTAAACTGGATGAACTCTGGATCGCTACCGGTAGGTCTAGATCGAGACATTAATTTTTTTTTTTCAATTTTCATTTCTTCCCCTGATAAAAAAATCCAAGCAATCGCCTTTACTTTATGTAGATCTAGAGGGTATTTTTTCCACACGAGAAGTGTTCCGGGAAAAAAATATTCAAAAATACAGAAATGACAGCTCAAACATGCGCACACTGATGTGAATAACTGTTTTAATTACTGGTATTGGCACATCGTGTGATATTATAATAACTTGTCTCTTTTTTTTCTGTAACCTTAGTCACGTTCAACTAGAGGTCGGATCCAACGAGGACAACAAGCCGGTCCCGGCAACCTCGTTGAATGCGACACCCACTGTAATAAGTTGATAATTTTAGTTCTACGGTTTTTGGGTTTTTTTTCGTTATTCTCATCAAGTTCAAATTTCTGGGTTGTGAAAGATGAATCTGGATTAAATGATTTCATACAAATCTCAATAGTTTGATTTTTTTCACAAAATATAGTACCAAACTGGTAGCTTACTGCACATCAGTTCAGTTCCCATGTGGATTAATCTGTTTTATCACCAAGTATGTCTGTCTTTCTATTGGGGGGCTGTATCCTACTCAGCACAGGTTGGTCCTGACAGGCATATTCCAAGCAGCCTACCTCCTTAATTATCTAAATCGTGTCAACGCCTTTTTGTCATTTAGGCACCAAAATTTTTCCTTTTCTAGGTCGAAAGTCTACTTGTGTGATAAATCAAAGTGAAACTATGACTAGTTTTTTTTTATAAATTAGAATTCAAATTTTTGAAGAACGCTATTTTTAAATGTTACATTGATTAAAAAAAACATCTTTTTCTTGAAACTGCTGTGAATTTTAAAAAGTTGTCTTGTCAGCTTACATCAGAATAGTGTCATTTCATGATAGCAATTTTCTTCTTCTGATTTCTCCAGGTTCCATGGTCCTAGTCGAACTGCCAGCAAGTATTCACTCCATGTTTCAGACTTTGGATTACTCTGCAGCTGAAAGTATTCAGAACAGCCTGTACCACGATTACAACATTGAGGTAAGTACAGCGTTAGTTTCAAGACTTACGGGCCCTCCCTCCAGATTTTCTTAAGGTTTGCTCCCTTAGCCTTTCATGCTCCCGTATGCACCTACAAGTACAAGGCAGTAGGAACTGCTCGCAGGTACTACCATCTACTGTCATTATGGTTGCAGCTATAAGGCTGACCTGACCAAATACAGTTTCAGGACTATGTTTTGTCAGGCCACTTTCGTTTATGAACATTTGTCATTTGTATTCATTTAAGGAATTAACTCACTGACTGTTAAGGGTTGGCATCCCAATTTAACGCCAACTGCCCATATTTCAACGATGTTATCGAGCATTCATTGTCAGATAACTATTCAAAGTAGACATTTATGATTTTTACAGTTTATCATTTTCCTGTTGTGTTTTATTAAGGTGAAAACAAATTGTCAATGAGTGTCATACTTTTGTTCCTATGATTGTTTGAAATAATGGACAAAAATAAATTCAGAAATACTTGAGCCACTGGTTGAGGAATGGCATGAAGCAACCTCAAAGGCACATTTTTAAATCCTCCTTAACCCCTTTCCTGCTCTGTGGGTGTACCTGGTACGCCCAAACAATTCACTCCCGTGTGCGCTTTGAGCGTACCTGGTACCCTTAAAACCTCTGTTTTGTTTCGCGCATATCTTCGCTTCTCACAGTTTTGATTAACTAGAGTTACATCCCTGTATTCTCTGTCCTCTTGCCGATGCGATCATGCCTATTTTTAGGCTATTAGTCCCGGGATTGGCATGTAGTAGCTAAAATAAAGAGACACGGTGTGTAGTGTGTTTTGCGCGAATGACAAAGTCAATCTGCCTCTCTGAGGTTTTTGTGTGCAGTCTACATTCGCCATGGTTGTTTCGCAAAGGTTGACTAGGCCTACAGATCAGGTTTTTGCAGAAATTTATAGAGATGCAGACAGTGATGACAAAGATTTCAATTCATCTGAAGAAAGTTTTTGTCATAGATCTAGTCTCCCAGATGACAGGGATCTCGAATGCGGAGATGGAATTTTTAAAAATCTTTCTTTCACCTGCTGGATTCTTCTATAGAATACTTATACCTAACAATAACTAACACCAATGGATTGTATTTCAGTTTTTGTTTCTTTTATTTGACATATTATATACTTTGCTATAAATAGTCCTTATAGTAAGCGAGCTATAGCAATTCAAAAAACAGACATGTCATATACAGCCACTGGAAATTTCCTTAGCACACGGGGTGGATTTATATATTAGCAGTCAAGGAGTTAAGAGAATAATTGGGATCGAAATATTCTAAGTCTATTTTATTGACTGTATGGTATTTGTTGTTCAGTAACAGAACCCACAGAAATGAACGGTTTTTCATTTAGAGGCTGAACGATATATGTAAGTTCAACCTAAAATCAGGAAATGCTGAGCCCAAATCTAAAAAATACTCGTCATAGCTTTCCTCTCACCTCAAAAAACACAAAAGCTACACTAATGATCGAGGGACGTAATGACAGAATTAAACAGACTTTGAATAGTGTGGCTTCCCTTTCCGTAACTGCCAAAACAGATCATGAGCCGATAAATAGTGTAAAAACAATGAAAAAATCAAAACTGACAAGGGTGCAGGTTCGGCATTTCTCATCTCTGTAGGCCTACCAACACAGTGTTGGTATCAGCTGTCAGTGAGTTAATAATCTCTGATTCCTGAAACTGTGACATGGCACTGAGTTTTTCTTGAAACATCTGATATAGATATTTGAGATGGAACTTGCACAAAAATGGAGATACATTTAGAGGACAACAGGATGGAGCAGGGCATGTTGCTACTACCTCTGTCGGTATCGTGCGGCGGACAGTCAAGTGAACTGGCACCCTCTGGTCACTGTGTTGCTGGTTGCTAATGCTCTCATTGCTATCTTGCTGCTTCCAAGTGCTGCACCCGAATCACTGTGTTGTTGCTACTTGCTACAGTGATATCCTACACTTTGATATCATCTGGTAATTGCTGCTTGCTACAATGATAGCGTACTCTTGGATCGCTGTCTTGCTACTTGCCACAGTGGTCACCTACACTTTGAACCCTGTTTTTTCTACTTGTTACAATGATAATCAACACTATCACTTTGTTGTTGCTGCTTATCAAAATGATAGCTTACTCCTAGATCGTTGTCTTGCTGCTTGCCACAGTGGTGGCCTACACTTTGATCACTGTGTTTTTTCTACTTGTTACAATGATAACCAACACTATCACTGTGTTGTTGCTGCTTGCTGCAGTGGTAGCCTACACTCGGAACATTGTGTGGTTTATTGCCAGAATGCTATACTTTCATCATTGTGATCACAGTCACAGAAACTTATCTTTGTTCATGTGGTGTTGAGTTGTGAAAGAGAGTAACATTTTCCAGTTTCCTAACCCTGTCAAAGAGACTAAAGGTAACTTTTCAAAAATAACTGTGTACACAAAACTAGACGGCACCACCTGTTAATGTTCACTTTTTTCTTGCTGAAAAGTAGGAGAATACTTCCAATCTTGTTGGTTGACCTTGAAATAAAAGACCTCAATTTTCTATCTAGCATCGAATTCTTTCAATGATCTTTCTGCGGCTAATTTCAATATCCTTCCTTCCTTCACTTTTTTTAACAGGTTCCTATCAAAAGTGTTCAAGGCCGACTGTATGTAAGGATTTCTGCCCACATCTACAATGATTTGCAGGACTTTGAAAAACTAGCCAAAGCCATCAACATGATATCCCAAGACAAAGGAAACAAACTTTTATGAGGTCTGAAGTTATTCAAAAACAAAATAAAGACCCTAATATAGGAGAGAACTCAACTGCATTCTTTTGTTTCAGAAATATATTCTCCCTTCGTTCAAATTCACATTAATAGCCTGTAAGTCTTAAAAATTGGGAGGGTTTTGATATTATTTATAAATCTTTTCCCTGCTTGTACTTGTTTGTTACTATGAACTTTGCTCTCAGTTTCTGCATATTTTCCATGTCTAAGCTTTAGTTTTTCTGAATCTGAGTTATTGTGTTCAGTTGGGCAAGAAGAACTCAAACACGTCGGGGATTGTCAAATGTATTCGACACCATAATTCAGCTTAACACATTACACCCTAAGGGTCTGGACGGAAAGCCCATTGTGAGATCCTAAGCAAAAGGAAAGAACCCACCTCCTGAGAATACAAGCCTTTAAAAAACCCATTTTAAAAATACTAAACAATTTTAAGAATCCTGAAAAAATAAAAGTTATAATATAACGAATAATGAATGGCGTTTCTCAAAAATATAACTTTATGTATGCGCAAACTGTTGGAAATGTTCTAATTTTAGTCCAATCAGGGTGTCCGACATGTCACTTTCACTCTCAGCCTCGCGGTCGGGCCCTAGATCTAAATTTTAGATTTTCTACGTCTGATCAATCTGAATCACTCCTAACTCTTGCTACAAAGTTTTCATCAAAATCTGAGTCATCTGATTTGTCATATTCTTGTTTTTGCTCAAATCCATCGTTATTTTCTTTTTCGAACTCGTGTTGCTTTTCAATACATCGAAACACCTACGAAGTTTCGGCAACGCAATTGCACTTCTATCGACTAAAACTACAGGTCTGAAAAATTTAGTTTTGGTATCAAACGAAAAAAGAAACTTTTTGCAATAACTATATGCAAATCAGAATCTCGGACTTCGTTTCTAAAGATGCTAGGTCGGCGCATGCGGTTCCGGGCGAGTCAGGGCGGAGCGCATAAGGGAATTTGCGGGCGGTCCCGGGCGAGTTAGGGTGTAATGTGTTAACAGATGTATAAAAAAAGTTGGGAGATATCAGTCGGGGAATGGAAAATTGTACAAGCTATCTGTTATTTCAATTTTTCTGTCTTCGAGTTCTCTGTGCTCAACCATATATATGAAAGCAGATATATGTGAGGCATGTTGACAAAGTGAGTTAATTATTTTTTGCAAATTCACGAATGGAAATATCAGCCTTAAAAAGACACTATGGTCTAATGTTTCACGACGTGGTGGAATCAGGCGCTCATCAATTTTTGGGCATGTGGAGTTATTGGTGTCACTTCAAAGCTTGTTCATTTATCTATCTCTCGGTGACAAAAAGCCTGATTTCACCAGGATGCCTCACAATAATTAGTTTATTTTTATTTAATACTTTTTTTTTCAAGTTTAAAGTGCCTATTATTATTTCATACTTAATTGTACAAATTCGGCCTATAAATTTGGCATAGGTATATATATTTTCTTATTTCCATATGGCTGAAATCTGAGAAGTAACTCATTCTGTTGGCAAGCCTCACATTTTCATTAATAATGCCATGGGAACTTTTTGGTATTAGTTCTAGTCACGACTATCCCTATATGTCTGCAATTGCTTCATGGAAGAGAAAACTGAATTTCCAAACGAACCTGTCTTTAACAGTCACCAAAGATCATAGAGAAATATGACCATCATAGACAGGTGGCTGCTATGGGCATGGACTGATTTATGGTCACTAACTAGACTTAACAAAGTCAAAAGATGGTTTTGAATGTGAAATCTTAAATTTTCTCTGTCCATTTTGTTTCCATCAAAATTGTTTGTTATCTGTCATAAGAGCTCCTTCGCATTGGTTGAACATACTCACTCAGTCTGAAGACAGATTGGTAGAAAACTGTTGTGGCAAGTGACCACAATGAGCAGGTTTTTCAAGCCTACTTGTCTCAAAAATGACCAATTGTGGCTGAATTGGACAAGAGCCGTTCATTATGGACATGATGTTTAAAATATAGGAAAAACACAAGGATGCCGTGGAACAGTGGCCATTAGAACAGGTGATCAGGATTGAGAGGTAACCATTGAGGCACTGAGACTGTATTATCAATCAGGATTGAGAGGTGACCATTGAGGCACTGAGACTATGTTATCAATCGGGATTGAGAGGTGACCATTGAGGCACTGAGACTGTATTATCAATCAGGATTGAGAGGTGACCATTGAGGCACTGAGACTGTATTATCA